TGACCCGACCGATTTTCGCCACAAAACTTGCTCTTCTACCGGCAAGCTTGATGGAGCATGTTTCTCCGAAATTTGGATAACAATCTGTGAGACTACACTGAGTCATATGCCTAGACCTCCAATGTTTTCCTTGCGTTGTTTGCTGTCCATGGGCGAGATCCCCTGGTCTGTTCCTGCTTCAGCTGAATTCATCTCCCCGTCCTGTGATGAGCCGTCCTCTGCCTCGTGTGTCCTTCCGTGTTGTAACACGACAGAATCGTTGGGAGTCTACCTCATTGCGTGCTGGTTTCTTGCTTTATTTACACCTCTATCATGGAGGCAGTAGTTCCCTCCGAAACGTCGGTGAACTTGTTCCGAACTGCGCGACGTCACATCGCAGAATAACCTCCGCTGTGACAACCTGGCATCTGGTACAGGTTGAGTGTTTGCTGGGAACAGGGCGCTGAGGAAGAGGAAGTGGCAGGAGGTTGGAGCTTCATAGTTCATGCTCTTCTTATCGTGACCAAATGAAAGGAGATGTGTGGGAGAGAAGAGAGATGCTTATAAAATTTTTGGTCGCAAAACGTGTTTGAAGAGAGTTACTTGGAAGATAAAGGCGTAGAACTTGAGGATATAGAGTGTGAGAGTGTGGTCTGGATTTAACTGGCTCAGAATAAGGACCAGTGATGAGCTGTTGTGAATGCGGCAATGAATATCAGGTTTCATAAAAGACGAGGATGTCATGAGTAGCTGAGGGACTGTTGACACTTTTCAGGCTCTCTGCTCTATGGCTTTATGTTTTCTGTTTGAGGGTTTAGCGGCGCTTCCAGTAGCTAGGACCTGTAGCGCCGAACGGATGGATTGGCAGATCATTTGAGAAGGATCCGGAAATAAGGACTCGTGGCTTGACTGACGTACTAACCCGTCATTTCCCTGTTAGTGCTATGCAAACAAACTCGGCCCGTGGGCTCAGCTAATGATTTTTCTTAATGCTAGTGGGGTGGGACTAAGTCTCTTGTACTGCGGCCACTTCTGGCCTATTGTACCAGACCCAGATGATAGGTGACGGTGATTGTGGAGCAATTGGTGGAAAGAAGATTGGCAGGGGAAACCGAAGTACTCGGAGAAAACCTGCCCCAGCGCCACTTTGTCTACCACAAATGCCACTTGACCAGACCCGGGATCGAACCCGGGCCGCCGCGGTGGGAAGCCAGCGACTAACCGCTTGAGCTGTGGCGCGGCCCTCAGCTTATGATTTAGTACGTGACTTACTGCACAGCAGAGAAAGTTTTTCATATTTATTGTGGAGGATGTCGGTCCATTTTATGCGAGTGTCTGTCCTGCCGTGTGTTGCAAGGCACTGTTATCGGCAGCCCCATTTCTGAAGGTCAGCCTCATGTTTCCAGCAGTTCGCATTGCCACACACACAACTAGCAAGAGTCACGCAGCACAGGCAGAATACTGATTAGTCTACAGGCTGGAAAACTAACGAATCCGGGTTCGATTCCCGGTATCTGCTAGAGATTTCTCTATACTTCACAACACCCAGACCGGCTGTTTGATCCATGTAGCTATATATCCAATATATTCATGGGGCTTTCTCCGAGGGTAATGTAGTGCCGAGGCTGTGAATGCGTGGAGCTTTACTTTCACTTCTCCATATATCTTCGTGGCATGGTATTCGTTCGTTGTCGTCAGCTCATCATATCAGCTCCCAGTAGGGTGCAACCTTGGTGCTGACATCCGGCTTGATATCCCAGAGTGACCTTGGATCTAAACTTAGGCAGCGCTTCGTTTTATCGGTGTTGTGTGATTTTCTGAAACGGCTTTGCGATTACGTTATGCCTTGAGTTGGCAACCTTACCGCGAGATCACCAGTGTGGCGATTTTGATAGAATGCAGCAGCTTTCTAATGATCCAGCTGTCGACATCACATCGCAATGTGCTGAGACACTGCCTTCGAGTTACCTCACACACGTGCGTCATCTAGATCAGGGCAGGTCGCCCTACATGGAGATCAGTCCCCCACACGTCGCTGCCTTGTACGGAGCCCGTGCTGGGTTTAAGTCCCGGTTGGGACACTGGTTGTTCTGACTGAGGGGTTTCATGGTTTTCCTCACTCCTTCCAGTCAAGTGCCGAGACAGCACCTCCAGCAGAGTTATCGCCCTGCCAAGTCGGTTTATGATTTAGGCCCCATATTCGGTATATGTCCGCTTCGAATCTCGGACCGGGACACCGGTTACACCGATTTAGGGATTTTTGTGGTTTTTCACAGTCCGTCAAAGCAAGTGCGCGGACAGTATCTCAAATGAGGTCAGGACCCTTCCCCAGTCATTTTGCCGTTACTCGGCACACAGTCTGAGCTGCAGACAGCGTCATTAAACAAGCTAAACATAAATACAAAACAGATAAAGGTAAAAAAGGTAAAGTTTCCCAGTGCCTAATTAATTAAGCCCTGCGCCATGAAGGCGTATGGGGGAGAGGTTGTAAGATCCACGTTTTCTTTACCTCGAGTCTAGTTGGAGGTGAGTGGTCAGCTTCACGCCCCGGCTACTTTACCCACAGGGAAACATACCCAGGTACCCACTGGATAGGAGGCGTGGCGGTATGGAGAAGACAAGAATCTTTTGCCCTGCCGGGAATCGAATCCCGGCCTTTCAGCCAGTAGCATGTCGCTATACCGGCTGAGCTACCCCGGTCCTTAAATATGAAGTAGGATCGAGGATAACACTAACGGCGTCATCTGCGGACCACAGTTTTAGAACTCAGCGTTGGCCTTCCTCCATTAGTGCGAGCCGGTTGAGAGATCGAGGAAGGCCAACGCTGAGTTCTGAAACTGTGGTCCGCAGACGACGCTGTTAGTGTTATCTTCGATCCTATTTCATACAGGGGACAGAAGTCTGTGATGTGACTTGCGAAGGTCAGGACCACTGGCAGCCGTGTAGTGACCCTGTGGCTATGGCACGGCTGACGTGGATTTGCACACGTCGAAGTAAACGTCCAGTTCGGTGATCTCATCGGGCTGAAGTGTTATGCTGGAATAGCTCAGTCAGTATAGCGACTGTGTGAGGTTTAAATTATATTCGAGATGTGCTCGGTTCGAATCTAGGTACGGAAACGGTCTGTCTGGTTTTACTCAGTCCCACCATAGCCAAAATAGCCCAGTCAGTATGTCGACGGGCTACTTGCTACACGGCCGGGGTTAGATTCCTGGTAGGGAAAGATATTTCTCTTCTCCAAAGCGTCCAGACCGGCTCTGGAGCTCACCTAGTCTCCTGCCCAATTTGTATCGGAGGCCCAATCCCCGCGGGTAAGGCGGCCGTGGCGTGAAGCTGACAGCTCACCTCCATTTAGTGCCGAGGTCTAGAATTCTGGAGCTATACCTCCACTCCTCAGTATGTCGTCATAACATGATGCTTAATTAATTAAGCACAGGGAAAAATTGATCTTTACCTTGCTCAGCTCCCCCCCAGACAAATCCCGGGATGACACCTCGATTAGGTTATGACCGTTTCCTTCCAAGTCCCTTGGAATTCATCATTCATTCTGTACTATAGAGTCAAGTTACTGGAATGACCGACAAGAGACAACGTTGCAATCCTTGCGCCTATCTTCTGGTCCTATCCGTAACTGCTAAAACCCTCTTCACAGCAAACATTATATACAAAATGTGACAGTGGAAAGCCCCATGTTCTTGTGTTGCAGTATGTGCATTTTTACAAGACCTTCACAGTCATAGTGATGGTCTGATCCCCCATGCAAGGAGATATGTCGCTTATGTGAGTAATGGTGTAGGAAATCTTCACAGGACATGAGACCAAGGCTCGAATCGGATTGTTACCTGCTACGAACAGGTCCACGCTGAGGAGAAAACAGCTTGTTTGCTGTTAACGTGTTGCTTGGTGGTCTGAAGGCGACAGCCGCCATAATGCACCGCGCCGTATGGCGTTCAAATTCAGATTTATTCTATTTAACCATTATCAGTGCACCACAGCCGCAAAACCCTGCACATGGAACTCAGAGATTTCTTGGATACTTCTTAACAAGGTTCTTGCCTACACATCCAGAGGTCCTGGGTTCGATTGCCGGCGCTACAAGATTTTCTGAGAAGTAGTGGGTCTGGAACGGGCTCCCACTCAGCCTCGTGAGGATAATTGAAGAGCTATTTCAAGAAAATAGCGGCTCCGGTGTAGAAAACCGAGATTAATGGCCGTGGGGATCCGTTGCGCTGACCACATGACACCATCTATCCGCAAAAGTTGGAACTAACTTCGCCGTCAAATGGCGGTCGATCTGTCGGTATAGTTCGCTTGCGGACTACAGGACACAGAGTTTGTTTTTTGTTTAGGTCTTAACCCTTTAAAGCACTTGCTTAAACATTCAGCACATCTCCATTCTCGCAGTGTCTATATGTATTTTACATTGTTCTCACAATAAACCGATTATTTCATTAAACAAAATGAACCGGGTCATCTTTGTTATGTAGAAGTGTGTTCTCTGTGTTTTGGAACATTATTTAGAGGGATACCAATTCTGAGCATGCACAGTGAAGCCCATGCCCAACTTCTTTACTCTGCGCTAGGCTGGCTTACTCAGGTCGTCTTAAGCTGCTGATGTTACGAATTTTTGACTAAGGCTGTTTTAACAATTTCTCATTGAAATTTCAACTGGCTTTTGCTTATTAAACAGAATATCTTATGCTATCTGGATTTGAGGGTTTCATGGGGGTGACTATGAAAGGTTGTGACGCCGTGTAGTTTTGTGAGAATAGGACGTTTCGAAGAAGCGTATCGCATCCATCCTCAGAATCCAAGGGTAACCAAGCAAGTTACCAACAGATGCCCACCGAAAAGTCGGGCTATCTCCAAACTGGACGGCGTCACAACTCAAAAGACCGCATTCTTCATGATGTGCTTCCTTATGCCTTCTTCATGCCCTTCATCCAGTCTTTTTGTTGTTGTGAAGGCACATAACTTGTGTAGCTGATGCAGCATATTAAAAAGCGATGATTATCCCACAGGACGTTTCCCGGAATGGCTACAGGGAAGTTTCCTGCGCTTAGGACCCGGGAAATTCGACATCGGAGACTTCGTAATGAACCATTGGTTCGATGGCTATGCAGTACTCTACAAGTTCGACATACAGAAAGGCAAAGTGAGTCTCTGCCTTATCGGCATTAAGGCATAAGTTAAGGTTGCGTGGTAAAACTTGTACAGGCGGTTCTCAGTATACGCCAGGATTGCCACGTATATCGAAAAAGCAAAGAGGAGGAAGACGCGACCTTGTTGATGCTGATGGAACGTGTCAGGGAAACTACGCGCACAACTAACTGGGCACGTACGGCAGCCTAACTTTGGCAGCGGATAATGTATAAGGAGAGACACCTATATTTATTTATTTAGGTTGCTGTCGTCTTGGATGTGAAGCCGTGTAATCTGTAGATATTTATTTGACGGCGTTACGGTCAAAAACACCCAGAGATCTTAACAGTAGTCACTTTGATTATCTCATATTTACAGGATTGCCCGCTTGTTAGTAGATCTTCAACAAAGTAAGTTAGAAATTTCTCTCTTACTAAATTTACCAAAATTGTTCGAAGTGAGACCCTCAATGTTCAATGCACAACTCGCAATGCTGTGGTTAAGTTCTGCAGTCTGACTTGACAGGTTTAAATCTGAACATTTCGTTAAAGACGAGAGAACATTTTAGGTTAACTGACTTTTTGGCCTCTCTATGTTTATTGCAGGAACTAGGCTCGACAAATGAGTAATCACGATTCGATTCCCGGCAGGCTCGGAGATTTTTGTCTTCTACACAACGTCCAAACTGGCTCTGGGGGCCCACCCAGTCTCCTATCCAATGGGCGCTGGGGGCTATATTCCACGACGTAACGTGGCAGCATAAGTATATTGCTTTCGGGCGCCTGACCTCGGTTTATAAACGCCAGCTCGTCTCTCGTCCTTGGGCATGCCTTATCAGCAGAATACAGGGCAGTGCAAACGGGCATTACGTGGTTTTAGCTAAACATTCCGTTACATTTTCAGAAACAAACGTCATAGCTGTCTTATCTTTTGAACGTAAAAGGAAAACATAAATCTGTCTCTCTGCTTACTTATCACGGCAGAAACACATATGGGCGATATTTTTTTATTGCTAGTGGGGTGGGACTAAGTCCCTTGTACTGCGGCCACTTCTGGCCTATTGTCCCAGCCCCAGATGATAGGTGAGGGTGATTGTGGAGCAATTGGTGGAATGGAGATTGGCAGGGGAAACCGAAGTACTCGGAGAAAACCTGTCCACCACAAATGCCACTTGACCAGACCCGGAATCGAACTCGGGCCGCCGCGGTGGGAAGCCAGCGACTAACCGCTTGAGCTATGGCGCGGACTTTCGTATATTACTTACTGAGTTTATTTTTCCGCGGTTTTCTCCACTTCCTCAGAGTAAATGTTGGAATAGTATTTGGGCAAGGTCACAACGACTTCCATATCCGCTCAACTTTCACCAGTCACCCTACGTTTCGGCCTTGCATGGCCTCGATACCGTCGGCTTCGTTAAATGAACCTCACAAAGTTACCCATTATTAACGTAGATAGAAGTGAATACTTAGCTTCACGTCCTGTTTGCTTTACTCCCCGGGAAATGCCTCCTTATACCCACAGGTCACAGGACCGCTCTGAACTCTGTGCAAAAGAGTACTAGGAGTCAAACCCCAAAGCCGTTCGTTCAGACAGCAGGCCAGTTACTATCCTGACTGAGGTATCATGTGACCCGGTGATGTGTGAGGCCTTTTGCATTTAGAAATATTTTCATGGTCGAAATTTGTACACCACTCTACATCTCCAAGCTGTCCCTTCGCTAGTATCCATGTCATGTGTGTGTGCGCGCGTGACAGTTCGGGCGCACGTGTTACGTGATGGCTGGCCTCCCACATTTGGAAATATAAGTTGATTTCCGTGTTGATATTTTGGTTGTTATTCCTTGAATGAAGACCGGGATAGCTCAGTCATTACAGTGATTGGCTACAAGCTGCATCACTACGGTTCGAGACCCGGCATGTGAAGAGTTTTCTCTTCTCGACAGCATCCAGGCCGGATCTTAGCCCACCGACCCTCCTATCCACTAATTGTGATGGAAGGGGGAATCTTTCCCCGGGACCACTGTGACCCCCTGAGCACTCACGTCCTTCCAGAGTCGAGCGTAAGATTGCATGGAGGTATACTTCCGCGCTCCACACGTCTTTATATGCTTGTGCTTAATTAGGCAGAGGAAGACTGCCGTTCCTTATCCCTGAGATGGGTTTACTCTTGTCCTGGAGCGGCGGGACTTCAGAACACTCGGCGGGAGGGGGAGGAGCATTAGTTGACGGATTCCGAGAAACAGACTCCTCCTTAGATAAGCTAATAGTTGCTCAGCTGCTCAAGAAATTCCCATTTTATGGAGCCCGAAGGTACGGTATTATGTTCAAAGGCCCCCGCCAATGGTCCCTATCCTGAGCTAGATGAATCTAGTGCATACTTTCCCATCCTGTTTCTCTAAGATATAATTTAATATTATCCTCCCATCTACGTTAATTTTTTTATTTTTGCTAGTGGTCCCATTCCTTCTGGCTCCCCTACCATGACAGTCTACGGCTTTCTCTTCCATGCGTTCTGCATGTCCCTCCCATCTCATCCTCCTTGATTTAATCACCCTTCCATAACGTTTGGCGAGGAGTACTCATTATACGGTTGTCTGCCTGTCACTTGATTCGTCTCCGCTCAGACAAGCACAGCCCATGTTCCCCCATAATGCGACACCCCAGCAGAAGAAGACCAAGAACCGCTGGAAGTTGGTGGACCAGCTTAATTTGCGCTTTTTTTTTCAGGTGACGTTTACCAAGCGTTTCTTGCAGTCCGACGCTTACAAGAAGGCTGTGGCGGTGGGTCGACCCGTCTTCACGGAGTTCGGTACCAAGTCGTACCCGGACCCGTGCAAGAACCTCTTCTCCCGTATGATGTCCTCACTGGTAAGTCCGTTGTCTCTGTGTGAGGCTTATGGAGCCGTGGTAGCTCAGTCAGTATAGTGACTGGGCGGTCTAGGAACTGGAGTGCAGTTCTCGGCAGGGGAGATGGTGGGTTCTCCTCTCCTCAGTGCGCTCCGACCCATTCAGCCTTCACTCCCATGGGTACCAGTTATCCCTCCCCGGGAGAGAAGGGGCTTGGGCGTGAAGCTGACCTCTCACCTCTGTCTGTGTCATAGTTAAGATTTCGTGGAGCTATATCTCCATTCCGCCTATCACAGTGGCCGCGCGTTTTGAGGCATGAACTGTCTTCGCCCGCTGAAATATTGGGGTCGTGGGTTCGAATCCCACTCGAAGCATTGATATCTGTGTGCGTTTATTCTGTGTTTGTGTTGTTCTGTGTGTAGGTAGCGGCCTTGCGACGGACTGATCCCCCATCCAAGGAATCCTACCGACTGTGTATAGATTGAGAAACTAATAAAGCGGCCAAGGTCCACAAGGTCTGTAGAGCCGTAACAGAATAGAATATCTCTATTTCTCCGTACACCTTATATTAATTAAACACAGTAATACTTTCAGCTTTTGTTAAGACGTGTGATAATTTGAGATGTCGGTGAGAATATGGATTGTGGTGCACTGGGTTATGGCACAGTGTAGTCTTGTATGTGGTTACCAACGTTTTGGAGAGACAAACTGCCTCCATCTTCAAGGTACCAAATTGCACAGTGTCATAACTCATGAGACCATAATTAAAATGTATTTAATTACTTCTAATTTATCTCCTTTCTATTCCTGCCTACGGTCACGGTGGCCGAGCGGTCTAAGGCATGAACTGTCTTCGCTCGCTCGGAAGCTGCGATCGTGGCTTCGAATCCCAGTCAAGGCATGGATGTTTTGTATGTGTATCTGTTTATTTTGTGTTTATGTTGTCCTGTGTTTAGGTAGAGGCCTTGAGACGAGCTGATCACTCGTCCAAGGAGTTTTATTGTCTGTAAAATGATCAAAATGAAAAAACTACCTCGACACCGTAAAGGTATAAGAGGAACGGATTTAAGTAAATAAGTAGGCCGCGGCATAGCTCAAGCGGTTAGTTGCTGGCTTCCCACCGCGGCGGCCGGGTTCGATCTCGGGTTTGGTCAAGTAGGATTTGTGGTGGACAGAGTGGCCTGGGGCAGGTTTTTTTTTCGAGTACTTCGGTTTCCCCTGCCAATCTTCATTCCACCAATTGCTCTACAATCACCCTCACCTATCATCTGGGGCTGGTACAATAGGCCAGAAGCGGCCGCAGTACAAGGGACTTAGTCCCACCCACTAGCAATAAAAAAGCAATAAAAGTATTTTTTTAATGCTAGTGGGGTGGGACTAAGTCCCTTGTACTGCGACCAGTTCTGGCCTATTGTACCAGCCCCAGATGATAGGTGAGGGTGATTGTGGAGCAATTGGTGGAATGAAGACTGGCAAGGGAAACCGAAGTACGCGGATAAAACCTGCCCCAGTGCCACTTCGTCCACCACAAATCCCACATGACCTGTGGCTAGGCTCGAACCTGGGCCCCCGCGGTGGGAAGTTGGCGACCAACCGCCTAAGCTATGTCACGGCCTTTTATAAAGATATTATTGGGATGTATATGTGTGTTTATTTACGGTACAAAAATTACATGCATAGTTAAGGTTGTGCATCCTCCATGTCCCCATACGCCTGATGCCTAATCTGTGTGATGTATCTGTAGATCCCAGACCTAACAGACAATGACGCCATCAATGTGTTTACACTCGAAGACGCCGTGTACGTCGCTACTGAAAGCAACTACCTGCGACGCATTGAAGTCGAGTCGCTGGCAACGCGGGAGAAGGTAAGGCCCGACCTAACAGTGCATTACGCCGCAGGTTGTCACCGTCGCTGTCATCTTGCCTTAATTCACACAGACAGACAGACACCTTAACCATTCGGACCTGAAGTTCCCACGGTGATGAAAATACACTTTGTAGTCTTCTAGGTTGTCACACCGTCTGCACCTAGCAGGTTGGCGTGACGGTGACGCTCTAGACATGTATTTTGGAGGTTCTCAGTCAGGACACTGGTCCTTCTGACCGAATTTATTATGGTTTTTCACAGTCCGCCCTGGTAAATGTTTGGGTAATGCTTCGAATAAACCATGGCCCCTTCCTTTCAAATACCATCCGCTTCATTATTCACTGATCCCCCAGCCATTCACCGCTACACAGTTTCGGTGTGACGTCGTCGAAAAATAATCCGCGAAAAAAGACCGCATATATTTTATTTTATGTCTTATTTAACGATTCTGTCAGGATTTCAAACTATATAGCGTCAGCGGGTATGATGATTAGTTAATAATGAATTGTATAGGATATGAAAGGAAGTGGTCGTTGCCTATTCTAGGTGCTATGCTGATCTACCTGGACAAACTCAGGAAAATCATGATAGACCTAAATAGGATAGTCTGTCTCTCGGGTGAAATGCGATTCTGACACATAAGAACTACAATTCAGAACTGTTACTAGGTGAACTTACTTGTTGGTTATGACACCATATAATCTGGTAATTGATTACCAACGTTTTGGCGCTACATGCTGCCTGTATTTTCATTCCTGCCTTGATGATGGCGGCAGTGCGTTTGTCTGAAACCTTCGTTCCCATGTGCAAGTCTACATGGTATCATAACCCACACAACCACATTCTAAACATAACCATTGCTTTTAATTTTTGGGAAAAGTAATAGATTTGTAGTAGTTGTGAGCAGCCCATGGCCCATTTGATGTACCTAACCTGCTGGACTCACTAGTGTTGCAACACAAAGTAATTTCAAAGTTGACAGGAGAACAAATAAATTGTTAAACCACACTGTTACAAATGAGAGTCTTATGAATATCAGTAGCACTAATATCTGTTATACTTTTCCTTACATTAGCGGGATGATGATAAAACTGTTTCTAAATTTGGAACATGCAGAACATGTTCTGTGCAGAATGAATTGTATTGTGACCAAACATCCCGTTATCAGGGTTCATCAGATGTCATTATTTTATTACAGACTTCTGGAGGGAGCCACTACCTTCATATTTATGGTTCCTCAGAAGGTTTGCTAATGATCTGTCAGGTGACTTCCCACAGAAGAGCAATAATCTTCAGGGCTAATTGTATTGCCACCAAACATCCCGTTATCAGGGTTCATTAAATGTCATTAGTTTATTACAGACTTCTGGAGGGAGCCACTATCTTCATCTTTATGGTTCCTCAGAATGTTGCTAATGATCTGTCAGATGATTTCCCAGAGGAGAACAGTAAACTTCAGAGCTGTTACTGTGTTGCAGGTTGACATGACCAAGTTGGTGGGGGTGAACCTTGCAAGCTCTCACACGTACCAGGACTCTCAAGGCAGTTACTACAGCATGGGTACCTCCCTCATGTCAGGACCCAAATACCACATCATCAGGACCCCAGCAGCAGCATCAGGAAAGGCACAGGATGGTGGGTTCTCACAGTGGCCACTATCAAGATTACAATCTTCTGGGGTGTGACACCATATAGTTTGGTAGATAGGTACCAGTGTTCTGGAAGACTGTGCCACCAGCATATTCAGGATAGAAGACTGAGGCAAAACTTACCTCTGAAATATTGGAAACATGTTAATTACCTCCAGTGAAGAAAAGGTGATGCAATTAGCAAGGCCTGCACATGTATATTGTGCAACGTATAAATATTGGCATGCTTTTTGCATGATTATTACCATTTCTGTTGGTACATTGAAGTTAACGCCTCCGTCAATAAGCGGCAGAAGAGTCAAGGTTGACCACGTTTGCACACCACTTGCTTTGCCTTGTCTTCTTTGGAGGATGTTACTAGACTGCACTATGTCACATTCTAGAAGATGAAGTTTCTTCTTCCTTTTTCAATTTTCCTCTCTCTCTCTGGTCCTTTTCTGACTCATTTGTGTGTTTGTTGCCATCATTATTTATCTCTTCCTTCCTTTCATGTTTTCATTATTCTCTGCCTTCAGTTATTAGTGTATTGTACATGTATTTATTTATTTATGATATGCTTTCAATATCTGAAGCCTACATAATATGATATGAGATAATAATTATAAATATAAATAATAAGAGGCGACTAGAGATGCATCCTGCCCTTTGCTAGTTGATAATGACATGTGATAATCTTGGTTTTCCCATAGCACTAAGCAAGGCAGCTGTCTTGGTGACAATTCCATCCAGCTGGAAGACAAGCATGAGTTATTATCATAGTTTTGGCATGTCAGAGAACTACATTGTGTTTATTGAGCAGCCACTGATCATCAACAGCATGAAACTTGTGACAGCCCAGGTGAAGGGGAGATGTATGCGGGACTGCATGACATGGAGCCCCGAGGAGCAGGTGAGTGGGTCTCGTAATGATTGCTAGAGTTCCTGTCATCCAGTTTGGGTAGATTCTTACTACACTTCAATGCCAGTTCTGTCAAGTAAGTCATAGTTGCTGCTGTACACATAAATGTCTGTCTCTGTTACAGGCGGCATTGAAATGTAGAGAAACTTACAATTGTAGCTTGTTGAAGCTTGAAAGGGTTGAAACATACCACGAATGTTGATTATTTTTCACTGTTTCTCTGTCATTTCCATTTCCAAACTCACTTTCTGTGAAAAAGAAGTAACTGGCCCAGCAGGTGAATATCAATACGGGGGCGAGGGGCTTGGCACTGAATGTCTTAAGAAGTTTACATCCTCTGAAGTCCTGTCTGGATGGATGGGGCATGTAGCATGCTTATAGAGTTGTCAAGTGCATACAAAATTTAGTCACAGACTCTAAAGCAAAGAGACCATGTGGAAGACCTAGGCATGCATAGCAGGATACTAGTAAAATGGGCTTTAAAGACATAGGGAGTTAGGTTGTGGATTAAATTCATCTAACTCATGAAAGAGACCAGCGATAATCTCTTGACAATACAGTAATGAACATTCAAATTCTGTAAAAGATGGGGTGTTTTTTGACTAACTGAGCATCTGTTAGCTTCTGTAGGAGGACTCTGATCCATACAGTTCTGTGATTAGTTTTCACTAGAAACATAAATATATGAAACTATAATTTCACTGTTTGTTTCATACATGTGTCAAACTTGATCTGCCACTGTGAGCGAAGTTCATACAGTGGTGGTGTCTGAGAACAGGGTGCGAAGCAGAATATTCGATTTGGGAGAGAGAAAATGCTCACCATTTATGTTATGCTTGGTTTATTCTTCCACCCCAAAGATGGAAGGACCAGTTTCCTCCAAAACTTTCGTAACTCTCTACAAGAGTGTCGCATCTCAGGAAATAGTGATCTTACCTTTGTCTGTTCTAAATATCAGTGAAATGCATTTGTGTTTTATGCCTCACTGTTGCAGAACAAATTCTACGTGGTAGATAAGTGGTCAGGACAAGTTCTTCCAATCAAATACAAATCGAAGAAAGCCTTCTTCCTTTTCCACCATATCAACACATATGAAGAAGCTGGACAGGTATATATTGACATACACTGGGTACTATATTGTGTGAAAGCACTGTTTCAGTTGCAATCTGTGTCTTGTATCGCATGTGGTGCTGAAATCATCAGACTTCAAAGAGTTAGCAGTGAGAGGACATGACACAGACACTTTTCATGGTGATCTGTTGCCAAGTTGATATCAGTGCACAACATTAGAAAGGGCTGTAGAACTTAGGTTCATTTTGTGTGACAATTGAAAATTAGATAATAAGGTGCTTAATAATTTGTACTTCTTACTTATATTATGGATGTGATTAAATCAGGAATGGAGTGGTTCAAACACACAACATGTGTGCAGGAAATTGTAAATTCTTATAATATTTTGGTCATGAAATTAAGAGAGAAGTGACCACTTGGTATACACAGATGTAGATGGACCAGTAAGTTTATCATCTATGGTCTGTGGCTTTTATGAATACATGTTGAAAATTTTGGTTCCATAAAAGCAGGGACTTTCTTATTAGATTTGAGGATTTCACAGCAGAGAACATAACAATTGTATTCTTCAGGAATGTGATAATATATACTTAGAATCTGAGGTTCTCACAGCAGAATCTTTTTTGGACCTAACACTGTGTAGTCGATTAAAAGTCAGCCGGTGTTTTGGAGGAACATGTCAGCTCCATCTTCAGGGTCAAAGAATAAGCCAAGCAAGATACCAGCATGAATCACATAAACTCTGCTGGTTTTTTGCTTGGCTAATTCTTTGACCCTGAAGATGGATGTGACATATTCCTCCAAAATGTCAGTTCACTTGCAATGGACTACAAGGCATTATATACAAGATTCACTTAGTGGGGGTGAAGTCCAACTGGGTCCACTTGGCACGGCAGCCACTGATTTGTCTATTGTAGCCTACCCCAGGTGATTACGATTATGGAGAATTTGGTGGAATGAAGATTGACAGGGGAAACCAAAGTACTCGGAGGAAACCCGCCCCAGCACCACTTTTTTCACCACAAATCCCACTTGACCAGACCTGGGATCGAACCCGGGCCCCCACAGTGGGAAGCCAGCGACTAACTGCTTGAGCTATGGTGTGGCCTTATATACAAGCTAAAATTCTTGATACAGTAATGTTGCATTTCTTGATATTGTATAGTTCGGTAGACATATGCCAGTGTTTTGGACAAATCTGCCTCCATTGTGATGGAATTAGCAGTTTCCTACAAAACGTTTGTATCAATCTACCAGGCTGCATGGCATCACATCCCAGAAGATTAATCTTCACAGTAGCTAACAGTCTGACTGAAAACTATAAGTTCTCTTGGCACATGATAATGTTATATTGTGTTCTGAAGAAAGCTACAGAATTATCACAAAGGCATGATCATGCAACCAGTTATCATAGGACAGGTAACCCTTTTGAAGCTAATCTCTTCTGTAGATCCATGTATTGAAAACATCAAGGCTGATGGTGATAAGTAGAGCTGCACAAAAGACCCCACAATACTTTCAACAAATAAGCTGCAAACAGCAAGAGAATTGTAGCATGTGAAAGGCCAATCATATGGATGTGTCACATTCGATGCCATCTAGTGAAAGATGATACACTAATTGATTAACCTCTCAAGCTGAGTTCTAAATAACCACTATGCTACCTTCTGAAGCAGTATTTAACTTTCTATGTAGCACTTAAATTGCTGTGTAGCACCTGTTTGCTTGTGGTTCAAAATTTCCCATATTTTTTAAATTATCCAACAGAATTAAATACTTTTTTGTGGCTAATTAGTATAAATTTCATAGTACTGATATTTTTTTCCTCATTAGTTTTTTCTGAAACACATTTATAACCAAGGGAAGCAGCCATATTTTTGTAAATCTACACGGTGCCACATCCCAGAAGACTGCTTTCTTCATAGCCATATTTTTGTCTCAGAAGTGTAAAGACTGCCAACCAAAAAAAAAAAATCATGCTTGTGTATAGCAGTTGTTAGATCACCAACAGATGACAGGAAGCATTAAGGCCCGTAGAATATGTTGCATTTCATATATTTTCAATATTCCAAAACAAACAAAGCAGCTATAAATATATTTTTAAGATGCTGTAGACAGCATACCTGCTGGCCCTTATGGCCATAATGATAGAATTATAAAAGTATGGATTTTGATTTAGAAGTACCTGGAAGAGATCATAGAAAGAAGTGCTGTAACTTAGGAATGCAGATTAGCGTAGCCAGCACAACATTGCTGACCAAGTCCAATATTGCTTAGCTGGGTATATGGACATATAGTGTAACCAGGAGCTACAACTAGGACAGTATAGTGTGTTGAGTCAGCAGCAACTATGTGATAAATACCCCGGGGTCAGTAGACACAGAAGCCATATTGTTAAAAATTTGAGAGCAGTTGACAGGGAGGCTATGCCTTACAGTCCTCTGACAGTAAGTTAATACGTTTGCCAGAGACCATCTCAGCTAAGAACCATGGACCTTCGAGAACTTCTGTTCTCTACCATTGCCTTCATTACCATCCAAAGTAAGTGGTGTCATGAACTGTAGCTAAGGCTGTGCAGTGCAGTGTTAGCCTGCTGATCCCCTGGGGCTAGTGACCATTTAGCTACCATGTATCATGTGCATCATTCATTTATCAGTAATCTGTCAAGATGACAGGTTCACAGTCTCTTCCAAAACAGTTCCTCCACTTGATGTGCGATCTAGAGCTTTCTCCTTCAAATGAGAATATCCTCTTCTGTCCCCAAGGTCATCCAACATCTTCTTATGTCTTCTTCCTCTTCTTCTGGTCACTTTTACCCGCCCCTCTATCTTTCCTTCAATAACTTCTTTTAGAAGGCAGTTACCACGTAAGATATGACCAATCCAATTAGCCTTCCGTTTTCTTATTTCGTGTAGGATAGTCCTCTGCTCACTGACTCTAATTAACACTTCTTCATTTTCTCACATAATCGGTCCAACTGATCTTCTCCATCCTTCTCCAACACCACATTTCGAAACTTTCCAGGTGTTTCTGATCTACTGCCCTAAGTGTCCATGTTTCAGCCCCATACAAAGCAGTGCTCCATATAGTGAAAAGTAATTGTGTATGTAGTGACCTCCCCTTGCGCAATCAATCTTATCCTGATCCAACTTCTGAAGTGAATTTCTAGTAGTTATAGCAGGGTGGGGGCAGCTACCAAACTCTGTAAATTCATGTACGTCCCTTCCACCCCTCCCACCTGAGGGTGTAACACTGCATATTCATATACAATGACTGCAGTATAAGGGTAGCAAGCAATATACCAGTACAAGAAACAGGCTTTGGAGGGGGGAAGAGGTTACAATTGAGCCAGTCCCTTCAAAGTTGGCAGTTTTAACATAAGGATCTTAAGCCAGTCCAATTGATACATAATGCTGCAAAGGATTAAGAAGTAGTAGTTCCTTGTGTTATATGTGTTGTAGTTGGTGGTTGATGTTGTGGCATTTGATAGCCCAGACATTATTGACAAGCTGTTTCTGAAGAAACTGCGTAACAATGAGATGGATGCCAAAGATCCGGGGTGTGGACGCAGGTTTGTGCTGCCTTTACCAAGAGAGAAACCAGTGAGTACCAAATGGACATTTCAGTCTTCCACTCCTATACATTGCAGCCCTTGAGGGACACTTCAAAATTATGGTTTCACCAAATATGCACACTGTGAGCTTGGAAAAGAACTGGAAAGAGAGCTTGATAGAATAAGGAAAATAATAATGGTCAACAGGTAGCTTTTATTTGAAATTGTTGATTCTCTGATACCTCCTCAAACAGTGTTGTTTTTTACTGCCTTCTTGTTTCTGTCGTAACTGATTAGTTTTGTGTTTGTTTTCCATGGGAATGAAATAATAATAAAATAAACACCATCGTGCTTACACTAATCATATGTATATGACACAGTAAAAATTATAAACTGACTCCATTGAACAGATACCATACTGAGAAGTTTACAGTGGCTGAACTACTCAAGAATGTCCCTGCTGCAAGGAATTGAATAGCTAATAATGTATTCCTTTGAATTTAAGATGCATTCAGTTTTTGACTGTGGGATTTAGGAAGGAAATTAGAAAGGTGCACATTCCTCGAATTTAAGATTCACCTCAATTTTTCATTGGGAATAAATGTGTAGAATGTATGTCTTATATCTGAAGTAATATCATATTAAAACTGGAATTAAGTGAAAGTATGGAAAACTGGACACAATATGTCTCCTGTGTTGTAGGAACTGAATTTCTAAATATTATTTAGATAAACCTGGGACTTTAAAGGGTTGTCATTCCAACTGAAGATGTACCATTGTAGGTCCATTGTAAAATTAATTTTATAACCCATGTAATCTGGTGTAGCCCACATTGGCTGTTTAGTTGGAATGACAAATTGCACCTGAAAATGGCTACACTGTAACAAAAATGCATGATCTGTAGTTACATAATTGTGGTTGTAGGTGGCAAATATAGACAGAGTATTATGCAGTGGAGTGCTATGATACACAAACAATAAAGATTTTCACATTTTGGAAAGAAACTGCAAAAAAATGCTTATTGGTTTGTTGTTTATTTATTTATTTATTTATTTAACAGCAAATTTTTAGGATACTTCAGTGGCCATTAACAGAACTGCTGGTAAATAAAACCGATGTTATGTAACATTGAAAGACATGATGATTTATGAAAGACTAATTGGACAGGATGTGGAAAGCAGCAGGGGTTTCCTAGTGAAGGCATTCCTATATAAATATTCAGGTTTTCACCATAGTGTTCAGATTATGATCTTCTGTGACAGGATGTAGTCTTCGAGTTGGACACAAATGTTTTGGAGCAACGTGCTGCCTCAATCTTCAGATTCAAAGTTACTTCAACCCTGAAGGTTGAGGTATTATGTTTCATGTCCATGACTACATGGTGTCACAACCCAGGAGACCACAATTTGAAGGTCCTCATAACTTGGAATTAGCTTAGGGTGGCAATGAAGAATCACAAAACCTAAGACCTCATGAATATGAAGAAAAAGAGCTAACCGATACATTGCAGTGTTGAGTGGAAGCGCTTATTCTTCAGTATATTTCTGGCTGAAGCATCAAAATGTAGGGGCTGAAGGGAAAGGTTTCATTACATGATTTAACCTGATGTGATCATTTTGAATGTTTTCACTGTAGGACTTCCCAAGTGGTGTGAATCTTGTGACACTCAAAACGAAGGCAACAGCTAAAAAAGTTGGAGATATAATTGAGCTAATGCCACAGAGTCTGTCTGAGCCTGGCTATGAACTGCCCACTATTAGCAGAAATATCTTCGGCAAGAAATACCGCTACTATTATTGCGCAGGAATGTATGACCCAGGACCCTTCAGAAACTCAGTGAGTTCCTAAGTACCATACATTAACTCTGTCTAGAAAAAGGGGATTTCAAGCAACCTGTAACTGTGGAGTTGGCAGCCAGATTTCTGTTAAGGGTAATGGTATTAGTACAGAAAACAATTAAATGCTTGCCAGCTGAGCTGTATCCATATACTTTCTTCTTTCACCAGGAGTAAAGTAGCTGGGAGGTGAAGCTGACTACTCTCCTTCATTTGCTAAAGTTAAGAATGCAGCGGAGCTATGCCTCTGTTCTCCCATTGTATTCATGGCTTGGTGCTTATTTATGCATAACCATAATTTACCTTGATATTCTTGCTCTTTCTCCAAAACTCCATTTCCACTGCCAATAATTTTGTTCTTCTTTTCCCCCTAAATTCTATACCTTGAAACCATACCAAATTTATAATATGTCATAACTGAATACCAGTTGGTGTTCACATTGTACCACATTGAATGTACAGGTTAACAATATCTGTTAACAGCTAATAAAGGTTGATGTTGAGACGGGAGATGTCAAGACATGGAGGGAGAATGAGCATACATACCCTGGTGAAGTGCAGTTTGTTCCGTGTCCTGGATCAGCTTCTGAGGATGATGGCATCTTGCTGGCAACTGTCACTGATGTCAGGAAGGGTGAACCTGATTTCTTGTTGGTGCTTGATGCAAAGAGTTTCACTGAGGTAGCACGAGCGGAAGTGACAGTTCATATTCCAAATGTGATTCATGGTCTGTTTCTTCCCAGCTCATAGTAGCAACAGCATAGTGGGTGTAATTTGTACACTGGTGGAGTCTTGTACATTCGCAGATAAAATAAAATCCTAATGTCTTAGCCCTGACTGCTAAATTCCTGCCCACCTTCCATTATGGCAGTGGTTCTGAAATGACTGTTGTGTGTGAACCGTTCAGAAGTATGAAATGTTTAAGGGGGCACAAATGGAAAAGAATTATTCTTTATATTGATATTGCACTATACTACTGGTAGCGTAGTTGGTTGAGGCACTATGCTACAAGCCAGAAGGTTGCAGGTTCAAGTCCCGATGAGGTCATTGGATTTTTTCAGTTGACCTAATCCTTCCAGCTGCACTATGGCCCTGGGGTGGACTCAGCCTCTAACAGAAATGAGTACCAGGAATATTCTTGAAATGTTCTTGGGGGTAAAGGGTGACCAGCTCGTAAGGCTGACAACCTTGCCGCCATCTATGAGCCGATTGTCTCAACATCTCACAACCCTATGGGCCTCCACGGCCTGTTACAGGGATACCTTTACTTTTTTTACTGCTGGTTAGCTGGTCTTCAACTTATCCATGTTCTTTCCAAGAATGTTTGCAACCGTGTAGTGCCTATTAAGTTTGGTCAGTGATTCTCTAAGTACGCATGAAAAAACTCAAGAACCACTGGACAAATTTTCATGAAATTTGATATTGGAGAATTTTATGAAGAATTGTTGAACCCTGTCAGTTTCATTATGACTGGACACTTTTATTGTCCACTTTATATGAAGACCTACCTGTGTTTCTTGAGCATAGTTCACTAAATATTTATTGGAGTGAAAATATGTATTTTGATAAATGTTGTAGAGAATAATTAATCACATATCTTATGTTCACCACATTTTTAAGACCAGCAGTTACAGAGCTAATTGAATCAATTGGACATTGTGTGTAATTTCCAAATGTCTATATTTATCAGTCACCATCATCTCCAGATCACACCCAAATTGAATTATCCATGTTTATATTTATTATTTTTGCATCTTTTCCCATTCAGTAGCATGGATAATCATGGGTGTATTGTAATTCAGTTCTCTTGTGGCTGTGCTCCGTGAGACAGAATTACTAGGATGTTCTTAAATTTTGTGAGATAATATGACTGTGAGTGTGAAGATTATTTTGTTCTTAGATGTGAAGCCATGCAGTCTGATAGAATGTTACCAAAAGTTTGGAATGAAAACAGGGAAAAGAATTCGGCTGCAAGTGGACCAGTGGGAGATGGTTGTTTAAAGCTGGACCAAAACTTTTGAGGGGAAAGGAGATTAGAAAGAACTGGCTTCTTCCTTTACAAAATACATGGCATCAAGATACAGTATGGCCACGCCATAGCTCAAGCGGGTAGTCACTGGCTTTCCACCGCAGCAGCCAGGGTTTGATCCTGGGTCTGCTCAAGTGTGATTTATGGTGGACAAAGTGGCACTGGGGCGGGTTTTCTCCGAGTACTTCGGTTTCCCCTGCCAATCGTCATTCCAAAAAATTCTCCATCATCATAATCACCCGGGGCAGGCTACAATAGGCCAATCAGTGGCCGCTGTGCTGAGTGGACCCAGTTGGACTCCACCCCCCACTAAGCGAATTAAAAGAAAAAGGTACAGTAAAGTTAAAAGGCACGTTATAGACTGCATCCTGTTGTGTATGTAATACTTGATTTCTATTTGTATTGTAATGGTCAACACAACACAATGAGTGGTATGGAAATATCTTCAATGGAGATAGTAGATGTTACTGTACATTTTACTTATTTATTACAAATATAGATATGCTACATGTTTCAACCACAATTTGGTCATCATCAGGCCTTATATGAACATATCTCAAGTAATTGTATTGTACCCAGTGTCTTTAATTACTTGAGATATGTTCATTTAAGGCCTGATGATGACCAAATTGTGGTAAAAAATGTAGCATAGCTATATTTGTAATAAATAAGTAAACTGTATATTAACATCTACTATCTCCATTGAAGATACTTCCATACCACTCATTGTGTTGACGATTATAATACAAATAAAAACCAAATGTTAAAAGAACAGTGCGAAGCTAATAGTACCTGTGTTGATGTCTGTTTATTAGGATGGTCTTAAATTGATGATGTATGTTTTCTGCATCTGGTTTAGGTATTAAGGACATTCAGCTGTTCTGTAAAGGAAGCTTCCATTTTGTTCATGAAAATATTCAGTATAAGTGCTGAAATACTCAAGGTAATACTGTTACAAATATCAAATTGTAATACTGAATATTTGAAAATGTAGGGCCTGTACATTACAGCAGAATTTGGAAGATTTTAAAATACAGCACTGGAAGGATTAAGACTGCTGTGGAGAAGAGACTTCCATAAATTCATCTAAGGGGAGAATATGTGTATTTATGTAAAAATCAATTTGTGCCTTATGTACCCATCCACTGTCCAACACACGTGCTTTATAATGTTAACACTACCAAAGGCAGTCATTAGATGTACTTATATTGAATATATATATATCACCAATTTCTGTATATGTTTGGTAATTTCCTTTGAAATTTAATTTTCACAGTACCAAACCCTTCAAGCAAAATGGAATGTGATATTCTCATAGCAACATATTTCTCAACTTAAGTTTGTTTGCTTTACTGGTTATCACTTCAGCTACTATGCCAGGAGACACCTGTTTTATGCTTATGCTCTCCTACAGTCTGCCCCTGTACACATTGCTTCAAAATAAATTATAGTTCCTGTCTTCTCATCTCCCTCCACCCACAATTCATAATTATCCCTCTTGTTATAAAACCTCTGTAACTGATAAAGCTAGTAAAATGAGTTTTAATCAGATATTTGTTTTGTTATTAAATGATTCTGTATTTTGAATTGTTTCATTTTTGGTCCGTTACACTATCAATCACAAAGTCAATAAAAAGTCCGTCGAGTGTAACAATTTATAGGTCACTTCTTTATCACTTCTGCCTTACATGTTTCGGTTTAATAAAACCATCATCAGAGGCACATAGTACAAACATACAGTACACAACACACAGCACATAGGAAACATCTAACCATAAGCCATACATCCTCAAGCTGACATCTCCCATCTTCGGGACGAATTAACAAGGAGGAGCTTAACATTTTACTTCAAATGTTTTAAATTTTAAATATTTTAACATTGGCGTTTTAACTTGAGGTCAGTTTCGGATGAATGTGAGAATTGAACGTGCATTCAACAATTCTAACAAGTGTTGTGCTTTTACACGTCGACGTATTGTAGCAGCGTTCACGCAGCAAACATAACTGTGTACATCTTAAACAACGGCAGTGTTTTCATGTTTGTACTATGTGCCTCTGATGATGGTTTTATTAAACCGAAACATGTAAGGCAGAAGTGATAAAGAAGTGACCTATAAATTGTTACACTCGACAGACTTTTTATTGACTTTGTGATTCTGTATTATTTACAGAGGTTATGTATTGTTGGTGAGGGGAATATAAAAAAGGACATACATAGAAATGAACTATTTAGAGAAGTTAGAAATGAAATATTATTAACCGAAGAGACAGTTATAGTGGTTTGATAGTACAAAAACATATGATAGACCAAGATTACTGAGAAGGGCATTAGAATTAAAAATTAAAGGAAGGAGATCTACAGGATGACTCAGAACAAGTAGACATGGTGAGAAGATAAGCTGGCAGGAAGTTGGAAAGAAATGATTGCAGGATGAAAGAAGAGACTTGAGACTTATACAGAACAGACATAATGCTAGAAGAAGAATATATAGCATATTGTGACATGCTGCGCAATGGAGGACCCCTCCCTCCCCAGCGGTACGTGGCAGATTGTAGCGCTGTCGTTACTACGGTAATAGGCGAGTCAACACCCCACCCCTCTCCCCACGGTGATGTAACACGCAACGCAGCTGTGAGACAGGTAACAGTCAACAGCGGTACCAATTGCGTAACAGGCGGGCACTGTGACTATATAAGAGAGCTACACTGCCTACGAAGACTGTTGAGTTGGAATCTAGCCAGCGGCGAGTTACGAGTTGAATTGAATTGTAACGGGTGAATCGTGACAGAGTGAATTGATTTGTGTGTAGGGTTTGTAAATTGTGTAAACCCGTAACGTTGTTATAATTAATTGTAGCCGAGATTTGTAGGTTGTTAAATAAACAAACTAAAAATCAAAACGGCGTCTTCAGTAATGAAACACGTTACAATATTATTAGGAATGACAGGATCAATCTGAAAGGCAAATGGGGGTGCGTGGGATGAAGTAGCCTTTCAAAAATACTCAGTTCCTTCCAAGAATTGAAACTGTAGACTTCCCAGGTATGAAAAAAGTGTAAGAGTCATCATCTCCCTCCCTCTCACAAATAAAACAGCACGAATTTTGTGCTCCTCTGTTATTGAGATTAAAGTTACAGAGGTAATGACATGAAGTATAGGCATCTGTGAATTGCTTCCTAAGGAACATATGGGAACTACAATATTTAAAGAAATGGCAGCAGGGTGGATATGTATGTAGGGGGTTGCAGAGTTGGAAGTTTTATAAATGAAGCAGAATACTTCACTAAGGAGCTAAAGCATGAGTTATTAAAGCACTGAGTATGCTGGGTTAAATGCTAACAAATGTTTCTGGAAGAACACTAATTCATATGTGGCCTGAATGAATTGAAAATAATACTCTAAGAAATAATTTCAAAATTCTTTTTTAATTTTTTGAAGGTGAAGCTGGGATACATAGTTTCCCTTACAGTTGAATTAGATTTATTGACTAACATATTTCCACAGGACGAGTTGGTGGATACAGACGTCAGGACTAGGAAAGGCATAGTCTGTGGAAAAGATGTTGGAATAAACATGTTTTTCTTTTCACGTTCCTTCAACATATCCACCGATGTGCGATGACCTATGTAACATAAATGCATGTAGTTCTACTGTTCAGTATTTGATGGAGCTGTTGTCAACTTCAGGGCTGCCATGACTTTTGTTTTTCCAGTGAGAGGCAGCCAGAGAATATTTTCATGGATCTAGAATTGTGGGCTTCTGTATTAAACACAGATGGTACCATATTTAAAAACAATTTTAATTTTCATTTAGTGCATCCTGTTGTGTTATTACATACAATTCTTTATTGGAGAGTGCGGTAACATAATCTATATTCCCAAAAGAGCGGACAAAATACATTGTAAAATGAGGCACTGGGCAAATAATTAACGTCAGATAATACCACATCTATACCACGGGCCTCCAAGCAATTTACTACATGTATACAAGACCTGAATATACCATTATGTCCACGGGAATATAACAACAAGATTGCAACAACTGACTTCATGATATGCAATATTACATGAAGAGATTTTAAATATATTTTATTCCATAACCTTTGTCAAGTATCCAGCTGTATTGTCACAATGAAATTGCAATTCGGTAGTGTGTGTATAGTAAGCATGTTTTGCCTGATAATGGCCATAAAAGCCGAAATATGTAGCTAAGGTAATGTTAACTTTGACCATTATATTGTTGTGTTACAATGGACTCCAATAAAGAATTGTATAATTTTAATTTTTGGTACTAATATTTTGTATATTAAGTTCCTTTTTTTAAAATTCAACATTAAGTGAGCATGGTACATCCAATACAGTGATCAAGTTTATGATTAGTATCCACCATTCTAATGTTTATCTGAAATTACGTTTTTGAGACTGAACTCTTTCTCCATCCTTGGGTAAATGCCTACTTTCTTTAGGCCCAATAAACAGGGTTGGTCCCTACCTCTGAAACGTTTTAGATACAAGTTATGAACCTGGATAATGTGCATTCAACTGATCATGATATTTGTCTTTAAGTTTTGATATTTTATAGAAGTTATGGGGGGAAGGGGTGATGCTAGGAAGCCCCCCTCCCCCAATAATTTAGTTGTACTAAGGCCACAGAAAAAAGTTTCATAGATTGACCCTTCATGTCTTTCTCTTGGGTTCTTATGCTTCCCCCTCCAGTGTAGTTCCATAGTTGCTGCTGCTGCTTTGGTTGCCTGGTTGCTGGAGGCTTGTGGCAACTACGTCAGTTGCCCGGTCACAGTAAGGAGTTGATGCCTCTGGCTGGGCTGCTGTATCGGGATGAATTGATTGCACCGTTGGCTCCCAGTCTTAAATACTGCCAGCTGGGAGGTGGAGCTAACGTTGCAGTTGTCATGGCACGTATCCATTAGCCGTGTATGGAAAGGTGCGGCCACAGGTGAAGGTATGAATATGCGTGCAGCTTTGCAGCTAGTATATAAGCTGGAGTAGCTGGAGTGTGTATAAATACTGCGTATCTTTGGTCACAGCTGCCTGTTTGGCACTTTCTGAAAGGGGCGACGGTTGTCTGCCAGACGCTTTGGGAATGTTCCCACAATATAATGTGAGCCTATGTGGCTGCATTACGCAAACTAGTAGTAGTACTACTCAATGAAAAAATATACACTCCAACAAAATGCTTTCATAGTATGTGAATTTAGAAAAGTCCATCTTGAATATGCTACAGTTAGAAAAAAGCTTGTCTTTTGAAATTCTTAAGTTAGTTAATTTGACATTACCTGAATATTTTAATGATTGAATCTAGGACGTTTCTTAGAGCCTATTTATTGAAATGTTTACCCACTGCTAACTTGTAGAATATGTATATGCCGTTGGTGGCACATGATTGCTTATAGTAGCAGGGACTGTGCAACTTGTATGCAACAGATTCTAGTCAAGTACATGATACATACATAATTCATAAATTCACTGATCCATTGTACGAACTGGACCGAATATTGAACTCGTCAAAATAAGACTTGATTGCAGAAGTACAATCGTGTCAACAGCAAACAACCACACGCAACCAAAAGCACCAAATAACCATAATTTACATTGTCATTCATAAATAAAATTGCAAGGAATATAGTTATTAAATGTTATACATGCTTAGCAGAAATATATTCATCTATTGAATAAAAAGCATTTGTTGTGAGGAAATTTTTCAGTGTGCGTTTAAAAATCTTCACATTATCACTCATCCTTTGTATATTTTGAGGAAGATTATTATAAACCATAATGGATGAATATAACATGCCTCTCTGGATTGAAGATAATTTCACTGATGACACATGTAGCTTTCCAAACTGTCTAGTGTTTATATGATGAATATTATTGTTGGTTTTAAAAAAATTGTGATTTGTAACAACAAACGTCAATATAGGATATATAGGCTAGGAACCGTCAAAATACGCAACCTCTTAAAACCTTCTCTACACGAGTTTCCAGGACTCAATCTCAGCGTAACCCTAATCACTCTTTTTTGGGCAACAAATAAAGTTTTTATAACAGAGAAGAACCCCAGAATATAATACTATATTCAAGCTGAGACTGATGATAAGAAAAATAGACCATTCGAAGAGCTTGTTCACTGAGAAGGGACTGTAACTTCCTGAGCATAAAACCCGCTGTGTTCAGTTTCTTTAATAATTTTTTCAGATTGTTTTTTCCAATTAAGTTGACAATCGCGGCCTCCATAGTCTAGGGGTAACGTTCCCACCTCATGACTCAAGGTACGCGGGTTCAAACCTGGTGGAGGTCGTGGAATTTTTAAGGGCAGAAAAATTCAGGGAACAAGTCCTCTGGGAGGGACTTTAAGCCCTGGGTCCCGTGTCATAGATTTACGGCATGTAAAAGAACCTCATGTCTCACTGACAAAAAAGGGACTAACTATCAGATACCACTGCCAGTAGAAGGCCGAAACCTCGCTGGCAGAAAGGGAACGATAGCAAGCACCAGTACCGGTAGGGTATGGAGAATGTAGAAATTCAAAGGGGGACGCACAGTAGATCAAACTGGTCACGGTGCATGGGATAACCCACCCCCTCAATACTCAATACTCAAGTTGACAATCTAAATACAGTAGAACTTGATTATAACGTCATCAAAGGGACCTAAAAATAGTGTCGTTATAAACGAATGTCGTTGTAACCGAAATGGGCACTTCCACAGTAGCCTTATGTTAGTCACGTAAAAATCTACCAAAAACCGAGTTAAAATGTTGCATTTTTTTTAGTGAAATACATAGTTAAGTACAGACTAACGTAACATTAACGTGGAATTGCCCAAATGTGTAATATCAAAGACATATTACAGCGCTTTTCACTGACAATACACACCGCACTAATACTGTATATTAAAGGTATGCCTACTCATCAAATTACAATAGATTACATCAATTGTTGTGCCTTACTGTACCTAGATACGAGTACAGTAATCAGTTATCTTCATCTGTTTCCTGTTACTTGCCCAATACACACTTTCTAAATTATGTTCAATGTCCATAATTTTTGTCACAATTTCACTGCTGCCTCCCCTGGATTCATAAAACAAGTTCACAACCCTAATGGCTTGAAGCGCGTCACTCACAGTAGGGATGGAGACTTCAGAACATTCTTCTCCTCCCTCCCCATCTTCCTCCTCTGTATCCTTCTTCACTTCTGATACAATATCGGCGTCTATTTGTGCCTCCATTGTAACAATGTCGTCTATTGTTGCATATGCCTCATAGTCATACTGACCTAGTTCATCGAACTTTCCCACGATATCAGAGAAATTCAGGAATGAAAATGACGTTACATACGAGGTTGATGCGTTTGTGCATGTCGTACTAAGCAAGGTATAAAAACAGTTGCTTTATGAGGAATTAGTTCGTACCATCGAATATTTGACGCAATAGACAAGGTGTCGCAGAAACCGAAGTTGCTATAACCAAGTTTTACTGTACATACCTAAAAAATTATCATTATCAACATATTTAAGTCTAAAATTATTATATGTTACCGATAATGTATACTCTGGAGACTTAGGAGTCACAAATTTAATCAGGTGAGTTTTACTCAAATTAAGTATCAGATTGTTATTTTGAAACCAGCTTGAAACCCTAGTTGTAAGTCTATTTAATTTAATATTCAAAGAGTTTAGGTCATTTGAGGTAATTAAAATTGTCATCCGCATAAGAAATAGTGCTTGAAACTTTATCTTCACCATTATTGAAACAAAGTTCACAAGTTGAAGAAACAGCGAGTTTGTACATTAAACAGTAATGCATGAAAGACAGCTTAACTTTACACAGAAATAAATAAATAGAAAGTCAGTTGTAATAATGGTCATCATCAGACTGGCAGAGTCTTGGAGACTGTACTTGTGACAGCTGATGAAAACAGTCTTGTAAAAAATTGCAGTCCTGTCTGTCCACCAGGAATGTAGCTAATTAGGAACCATAACAATGCTACTATCTGTCCAACAGCACACAAAACAGTCCAAGGTGTGCTCTGCACATGCAGGGCAAAATAGAGTGTTGAAAGTAATGTCCCAAAATAGGCTGCTGTGAAAGGGAGACGGTCACGTGAAAACAGATGTCGCATGTGATTTACTGGACCCCACAGAAATGAGAAGCTGCAAAGAAAACATTACAAAGGATTAAACCATTTTAATACCATGTTTTGAGGATCATGTCCTAGAGAGGCTTTTTATCAGTGTTGTTGGACTGTCAGGTTCTACTATTGGACAGTAAAGTAAAAAGTAAAGCTATCCCTGTAACAGGCTATGAAGGCCCATAGGGTTGTGAGACATTAAGGGTCCCACATTACCTTGACAATCGGCTCAGAGATGGCGGTAAGGTTGTCAGCCTTATGCGCTGGCTGCGCTTCACTCACCAGGAAAATCATTTAATTAATTCCTGGTACTCACAGTTTCATATAAAAATTTTGAATGAAGAGCCTGACGGGATAAACCACTTGAAGATGCGGGCACAGATGAAGGGACAATATTAAGATCAGTAAGAAGGTAATAGATTTTGAAGATATGGATTGAATTGTTTCAATCACAGGTTTCCTGAAGACACTGATGATTGTGTTCCATAATAACAGGAAATCCCACAATCAGTTATGCATCAGACTACTGTCCAACAAGCACCTGATATGCAGTAACATTTTTCTCCATACTTTTTTTTTTTTTTTTTTAAGTTTTGAAAACAGGAGAGAAATGTTTCAGAAGTAAAAGTAATATTACCAAAAGTAGTGAAATATGTTATTAAGAGAGACTTCCCCAATTTCATGTTAAGTGGCAGGTTTTTGTATTAGTGGTGTTGAAATTTATGATTTTGTTACCAGACAGTATTCAGTTATTCAGTATTGAGAGGGTGGGTTTCCCCATGCACCGCGACTAATAGTCTATTGTATGTCCCCCTTTTAATTTCTACTGTCTCCATACCCTACCGGTACTGGTGCTCGCTATCAGCCCCTTTCTGCCACTGAGGTTTCGGCCTTCTACTGGCAGTGGTATCTGATAATTAGTCCCTTTCTGTCAGTGAGGTCGTCCCTCCTCTGGCAGTGGTACCTAATGCTTCCCCATCTACCGGAGGCATTGGAAACTACTTGGGCAGGAAACTTTTTGCCTAATTTAGGTCAGAGGTCTCCTAGAGACATGAGGTTCTTTTATGTGCAGTAAATCTACGACACGGGACACATGGCTTAAAGTCCCTCCCGGAGGACTTGTTCCCTGAATTTTTCCACCCTTAAAAATTCCAATACCTCCGCCGGGTTTGAACCCGCGTACCTTGAGTCATGAGGTGGGAACGTCACCCCTAGACTACGGAGGCCGCCTTACCAGACAGTAAGTTTATTCTTACAGAGTGTGAGAATGGGAGGTAGATTGAATCGGCTCAGGACTGTGCCCAGTGGCAAGCCTTGGTATCAACAGAACTGAATCTTTGAGTTCTAATATCAGAAACTCGGTGAATTAGTAAGACGGATAATATGGATATGTGGCTTGTGTTTTCAAAGTGAACAGTTTGCTTGGAAAGGTTCCCCTTCTCTATTGTAGTGATTGAATATAAATGTTCTGTATCCCATTCATGATGACATGCAAAAGAACTGAGGATGTATCAGCTAGAATTCATGTCTCTTTAATATCACTGTACCAGTTAACAGGAGACAGAGGTTCAGGATCAGCCCTAGTGACAATTTTTACCCACAATCAGCATATAACAAGCAGTTGTGGGCAAGGTAACGTTTCTAATTGTAGATAGGAACAAAATTATGCAAGCCCTACATACAGATTAGATAGCTTGTAATGATCTGTATATCTTTAGTATACATAAAAATCCACAAGCCAGAACTATAGTGTCATGATATTCTAGGGTCTGTCACATTTGTTATGCTGATTATGGAACAAATAACACTGGAGAGCAGTTTTTGAACCATTAAAATGTTTCTTCCTGACCAGATTAGCTCCAGGGGATGTGTACTGTAAACCTACTCTCTTTAATTTTTTTTGTTTTTGGGGAATATATTTAGAGGTTTGTCAACTGTCAATTTTTCACGTGATTTATCAATTTTCCGTATATAAACTATAAGAAAACTGTACATACCTGCATATAATGGATAAACTGCCCATTGTATAAAGAAGGGCAAATTTTCTTGCTTTAAACAGAAGTACAGGAACATACATTGCTGCCAAAGCAAAACACAGAAGGCCCAACATAACGAACAGACAGAATCCTATTATCCTCTGGACCCGACTCTGCAAGGGAAGATATTTGGTTAAGCTTACACAGTCATCAATGCGACACATTATTGCTAAATAAATTGTGTCTCATTACCAAACTCGGACAATAGTCTTTCTCTGCTTCTGACAGCCATCCTGCCGGCGTATCCTCATTACTCGCAGATCTCGTAAACCATTTTCCAACGTCTGATTTTGACAGTAAGGCTGGCATTGTTATTTTTGACTGAGATTTATCATTTCTTGACAAGTATTCCTCCAGATCTTTCTTTATGTTCGCCATGCTTGTTCCATATGTTTACAATTGACGTATCGAGCAGGTACAGTAACTTACAAATGTAAAACTGGTTTTGGTACTTTAAGGTATTTTAGTATTTTGTGCTGGTAGTCTTGAACGTCTTGAATAGTAATGGTGGCGGGCGTAAGAAAGTTGTGTGCTATGTGCTTGTTCGAATATTGGTCGGTATATTTCTTTTGTTTGGTCCTTTCCGAGGTACGTAACTGAGATTACTAATTGGGTTTCTTGTTAGATTACGGGAAATTGTGTGTAGATGTTTTCTGCTACTGTACCATGAAATGAAATGTTAACGACCTTCATGCCAGTCAAAACTAGATAATGTAACGTGCTTGGATTAGATGCTTCCTTGGAAACGCAATAACAGACCGTTGCCTAGGAAGTAACAATAGCAGTATTGTAATTCTAACAGTGGGTCTCCAAGGTTACAACGTACTGTTAAGCGTTACGTAGCAACGGAAATATTGCATTTCCTAAGCAACGGATTTATTCATAGACTTCAAGAAAGCCTATGATTCAGTTAGGAGGGAAGCATTGTACAATATTCTGATGGAGTTTGGGATACTCATGAAACTAGTTAGGTTGATTAAAATGTGTTTAAACGAAACGTATAGTAAAGTCCGTATAGGTAAACATTTGTCTGATAAATTTCCTATCCAGAATGGTCTAAAACAAGGAGATGCTTTATCGCCACTCCTTTTCAACTTTGCTTTAGAATATGTCATTAGAAAGGTCCAGGAAGACCAGGTGGGACTGAAATTAAATGGGACACATCAGCTGTTGGCCTGTGCCAATGATGTGAATCTACTGAGTGATAATGTAGATACCGTAAAGAAAAACACACAAACTTTAATTGACGCAAGTAAAGAGGTTGGTCTAGAAGTAAACACAGAGAAAACTAAGTATATATTGCTGTCTCGTCACCAAAATGCAGGGCAAAATCATGATATAAAAATGTTTTGAAAATGTGGCACAGTTCAGATATTTGGGAACAGCGATAACAGATCGAAACTTGATTCAGGAGGAAATTAAGAGGAGATTGAACTCGGGTAATGCTTGATACCATTGAGTCCAGAACCTATTGACTTCCCGTCTGCTGTCCAAAAACATAAAAATTAGAATATACAAAACTAATTTTGCCTGTGGTTCTGTATGGGTGTGAAACTTGGTCTCTGACATTAAGGGAGGAACATAGACTGAAGGTATTTGAGAACAGGGTGTTGAGGAGAATATTTGGACCGAAGAGAGATGAAGTGACAAGAGGCTGGAGGAAAGTGCATAATGAGGAGCTTCATAACTTGTACTCTTCTCCAAGTATAATTAGAATGATCAAGTCAAGGAGGATGAGGTGGGTAGGGCGTGTAGCACGAATGGGGGAGAAAATGAATGCGTATAGGATATTGGTGGGAAAGCCAGATGGAAAGAGACCACTGTGAAGACCGAGGCGTAGGTGGGTGGACAATATTAAAATTGATCTTAGAGAGATAGAATGGAATGGTATGGATTGGATTGATCTGGCTCAGGATAGGGACCAGTGGAGTGCTCTTGTGAACACGGTAATGAACCTTCAGGTTCCATAAAATGCTGGGAAGTTCTTGAGTAGTTGCAGAATTGGCGGCTCGTCCAGAAGGGCTCAGCTCCATGAGTAAGTAAGTAAGTAAGTAAGCAACGGATTAGTGAAGAGTTGAATCCTAGCGATCGTCAAAGACAGTGACGCTCCAGCCTTCGAAGTATTCAGTTGAAGTCTAGCATTCGCCGAGTGAAGTCGAGAAGTGAGCACAGCAGAAGGATTGACTCCGACAAAGAGTACTTATATAAAGTATTCATAGAAAGTAATGTTTACAAGTAGACAGCTCATGGAAAATAACAACATGGTGAGATGGAGGGTGATATAAACACGTGGCCGTCTTTCTCGTGTTATTATATCGGTACATAAAGAAAATCGCTTCTTTTCTGCAATTGTGAGATGCTGCGACTCCATATTAACAGATATTAGGATTTATTTCTCCCCCCTCCCTCCCACACACACACACACACACACACACACACACACACACACACTCTCTCTCTCTCTCTCTCTAATTAATTAAAAGTGTTCCTGTATTTTAAATGACACTATGCTACAAGCCGGAAGGTCGCGGGTTCGATTCCCGATGGCGTCGTTGGAGTTCTCAATTGACCTAATCCTTCCAGCCGCACCGTGNTTTTCTCCGAGTACTTCGGCTTCCCCTGCCAATCTTCATTCCACCAGTTGCTCCACAATCACCCTCACCCATCATCTGGGGCTGGTACAATAGGCCAGAAATGGCCGCAGTACAAGGGACTTAGTCCCACCCCACTAGCAATAATACCGCCATCTTTGAGCCGATTGTCTAGATATTGTGGGACTCTCAACGTCTCAACCGTATGGGCCTTCACGGCCTGGTACAGGGATAGCTTTAGTTTATTACTTTACTTAGTGGGGTGGGACTAAGTCCCTTGTACTGCGGCAACTTCTGGCCTATTGTACCAGCCCCAGATGATGGGTGAGGGTGATTGTGGAGCAACTGGTGGAATGAAGATTGGCAGGGGAAGCCGAAGTACTCGGAGAAAACCTGCTCCAGCGCCACTTTGTCCCCCACAAATCCAACTTGACCAGACCCGGGATCGAACCCGGGCCGCCGCGGTGGAAAGCCAGGGACTATCCGCTTGAGCTATAGCGCGGCCCTGAAGTGTTTAGGCCTATATTTAACTTTTTGCATTCGGAGACTTCATCGAAATATTAATTAGGTCTCACAGTAGTATGCAAAAATAAATTCTTTGATGGCTTTAGTGATACAGTGTCAACTAACATGTATCACTTCTGTAACACTACACACGATGACGAGATCCTACATGGGCTGCATTCCAGTCCCTCGTTTCATTATAGTTGTCTGTACTTCGTTTCGAGGTAGGCTTAATGACTGAATAAACATGCACCTGCAGTTCCCTACTTAATTCATAGACACTTAAACATAGATAATATTGTCTGCCTAACACCCATTTCAATTTCGTGTTATGCTATGAAGTTGAAATTTGAAACAAAGGAGTGGAATGTAGTAAGTGATATTAAGAACTGTATGAGGGCAGTATCAACGGATTAGGTGGCACATCAGTAACAAAAATGAACACTGAAAACAAAATATTTCATTGGACTGCGTTATCAATATTTATATTACTTAATGAGGGTTCGGAGTCGACCTTGAAGATAGAGTCAACATGTTCCACCGAAACACTGGCACATTCCAGACCACAGTCTGTAAATGTTCTGCCGTGAAAATCTGAAAACGTATTACTGTTGACAGATCATCGTCTTGTAACGAATTCGAAGCAGTATTTCAGTGTTGTTTAAATATTAATGAAAGCATGTAAATATAGTCATTTGGACAGTTAACATTAGAGTCCATATTTAAATAAGAACGCATTGAGTTATATATTGAGAAGACTTACTGTACGGTTGATGAAAGCAGGGAAAGGTTGGAATTACGAGAGACCCGATATAATCCACCTTGTATTATATTGATTATGGCTCAACACTCACGCAACATGCAACAACACTTGTTCCAGCCGCCATCTGTGGCCCACTCTGCCAACCATATACCTTTCTTATAGCGATCAGAGCTGGGATAGTTCAGTCAGTATATGGGCTTGGCGACCAGGGAATCGGTGTTTGATTTACGGCACGGGAAGATATTGTTCTCCTCTGTCCATTGTCTAGACGGGCTGTGGGAATCACTCAGGTTTCTGTCCAATGGGTGTCATGGGTTTCCTCCCAGTGTGCAAGGCGGCCGGGGCGTGGAGATGACCACTCACCTCAATTTAGTACCTAGATTAAGAACGCATTGTGCTGTCCCACTGTTCCCCCTATGTGACTTCTTGGCATGATGCTTAATCACGGTCATTTCAGATCTTTATTTCGTAGTAATTCGTTAGTAACGGCGTCACAGCCTTTTCATTGTGATTGGCCAAGACAGCGCTTTTGGCGAATCGACCGTATGTAGCTCATCCTGTGAGGCGAACCTATGCTGGTTTCTGCATAGGAGATGCCTGTATGGCACAGGTTGTTGCGACAGATATACAGGGCAATTCAGAATGAAGTAAATGCAATAAAAAAAACAAGAGGTTGGAGAAAGGGTGCATAATGAGGAGCTTCATAATTTTGACTCTTCGCCAAGCATAATTAGAATGATCAAGTCAAGGAGGATGAGATGGGCAGGACATATAGCACGCATGGAGAGAAGACGGATGCATGTAAGATTTTGGTGGAAAGGCCAGAAGGAAAGAGACCACCATGAAGACATGGACGTAGGTGGGGCGATAATATTAAAATGGATCTTAGATATTGTTGGGTGGTATGGACTGAACTGATCTGACTCATGATAGGGGCCAGTTGGGGGCTCTTGTGAACATGGTAATGAAGTTTCGGGCTCCGTGAAATGTTGGGAAATTCTTGATTAGCTGCGCAACTGGCGGCTACTCAAGAAGGGGTCAGCTCCATGACGTCGCTTTAGTTTCGGATGCTAATAATACAATATTTATTAATTTATCAGCAACGCAACATACCGATGTGACACCAATCTAACCAAGTTTGTTTTTTGATACCAGCTGAGAACTTCATCCTCATGCTGTCCTCTAGAGGCGCACTTGTTTTGAAAATGGCGTCTACATAAGCGAAAGCCTTCTGCGTCGTTCTGTACGCGAAAGTTTGCAGTGAGACTGACTTCTGCAGGGTTACTTGAAGGTTACTGTGTTTGAGTCATTCTGAATCTGAGGCGTAGGATCCCAGCAGCTGTGTGCGTCACACGCTGCTAAATTTCTGAGAAGAACTGGATTATCGGATACACTCACTTTTTCTGTACGAGATTGTAAGAGATTTGGAGGCGTTCTCTGTTAGTCTATTTGTGTTATATGAAGATTATAAAAGCATATTATACTTCAATGACGTCTTGAAAATATTTATTTGATTTTGAATTGGCCTGCATTGCCGGGATGTGGAGAGTAATGATTTGTTACAAAGCTCTAGTTTCAAAATGTAGTGGAAAGAGGCCACTCGGAAATAAATGCGACTAAAAAAGGATAATATTAAAGTGAATCTTTGTGAATTACGGTGTGATGTGAACTCGATTGTTATTGCTCAGGATGTTCAATGGCGTGATTTTGTGGAGACGGTGACGAACCTTCTAGTTTCATCACGACAGGAATCTTTGATATTTCTGTCTTCTGGAATTTTACGCCATGTAACCTGCTGCTTTCTTCAGGGTATCGAACTTAACGTGCATCACAAATGGCACGGAGTTAGTAAGATAAGTGGCAGGCCTTGAGCGAACTAATAGGTGTAAGGAGACCAATGTAAAGAATGTTGTGTTTTGGCCATTTTGTGAAGGAAGCCGGACGGGAGACATATTCTCTCAAAATCTGCCTTTTGAATGAGTCACTATTTCAGCTTTAACTTTTCTTCCTGACACTTCTCTATTCAAAAGCCACACTCTCAGGGCAGTGTACCCTTACTCTGTTTCTCCTCTCTTCATCTCCTGTTGGTCACTCAGAACCACGACTTATCTCATTAGCTTTGTTCTTGGAAAACGGCTGTTTAACCATTTGAACACAATACTTTCAATATGTACGAGTTACCTTAGCAATCCTAAACCAAATTTTATCGACAGGCTGCCTTATGGGTTTCATATCCTCACAACAAACATCATATTTCCGCAGACAGGATCAAATGACTGATCTTTGTAACGGAGACGCAGTAAGTTTTCTGTTTGGAACTGAAATTGTTAATATTATTTAGATGAATTTCGTTCTTGAAATAGTTAAAAGCTTCAGTGTCTTCTTTAACCCGAGTGACTCGCTCGAAGTGTCTGCCCTTCATCACTACATCCGTACCACTTTTGCTACGCTCGGTTCACTGTGTCCTGAGGATGGAAGTAACTTTCTCCTTCGAAACGTTGGTAACAGTCTACCAGGCTGTGCAGCGTCACATCGCAGAATGCAGTTGTCTTTATAGCCGTCGCTGTGAGAAACTCGTTATATCTGCAAAATATCGTCCTGTTTTTTTTGTTTGTTTAAAAACGTTTCAGAAATAGGGACTGGCTCTGTCAGCCGGACCCAACTGAGTAGGCTTTTACCTGAGGACGGACATATTGTCCAGTCTCCAAAACGTTTTGTGTTTTAAATAAAAACAGGACGATGGATAATGCAGAAAAATTCAATAATTATATTAATTTATTATCGTCACAAACCCCTAGATCTTACTGTTATATCTAGGCAAAAGGATTGGTTTTTATGTTGTATTTATATTTTCTACAATTTACAGTACGTTTTCGCGTGTCCTTCCTTCCTTCACGATACAATACTCTACACAGCTTGAGCATGCCTTTAGCTTCTATTGCACCGAACATATTTCATAAGTTAGAGCCTAAAGGCAAACTGTATTTATACTATTATGTAAATACATGGTCAGCAATAGTTTACAACCTTTATGTCAATTCATCTGCATTGCAAAATCGTAAAGAAACGACTCATTGAGATGAAAAAACTTAGAAATATACGTACAGTTAACAGTAACCACAAATCAAGTTCAAAATAATTTAACTTTAACATTGTAAGACGGTACAAATGTCTGAATGACAAAACATGTTGTTGAAATGAAACCCGTTCGTGGAGTTCTAGTGAGAAGTTGACACAGTTAAATACGGTACGAGCACAGTGGTTGCCGAAACACACACCTCATTAATTCGCCGGCCGTTGGATCCCTTTTACGATTACTGGTGCGTCATGCACGCAGACAGTTGATTACCTGCTGCAGACGGAATTTGCTAGGACAGCCGCAAACGGGTTTCATGTGAACAACCTTCATACAACGTATACGCAGTGTTTAACTCCCCCACCCCAAATCCAGTTAACAATCATTGCTTAGCAATCTTACTCAACCACGTACAGACATAAAATAGCGAACACTTTAAAATCGATTACATTTCCCATGTACTCTTTGCTATATTTTACTTCTTATTGATACAGGTGCGTACGTCAGATAGACCCATCATGGAAGCCATGAAGACGTCCCCTCAGTAAGTATATATATTTCTACATAATTAATAATTAAATTGACACGCTAAGCCTCAGAACAGTAGATTTAATTTTTTAAAACTTCTTTACTTTTGAGTATTGGCATTCTGTTTAATTATTTTGATGGCTTCTTTGTCATAACTATGTATGTTTACAATGATTGCTTTGCCAAACAGTAGATGTCACTGAGAGCAGTAGCTGTTTGAGTTTCAGAGAGCTAAGGCTTAGCGTATTAAAATATTTTATGCTTGTTATAAGATATGAAAGAAGCCGTAGTAGTTCAGTCAGTATAGTGACTAGAATACGGTCAGAACGACCGGCTAATCGGGGTTCGATCCTCAGCAGGAAACAATTTTTCATAGCATCCAGCCCGGCTGTGGTACTTCACAAACTTCTAGCCAAAGGGCACCGCTTCATCTTTCCCCGGGGGAAGTGGTTCTCCATTTGCGTCCAGTACCAAGGTGGAGAATGCGTGGAGCTATACGTCCAGTATTGGTTGGGTTGTATTTAATTACACAAAGGCAGAAATTTGCATTTAGTTTACTGAATTTTGAAGATAACCTAGAACTAGCAATGCATATGCTTATGGCCACCGCTAAGGCGGCGTACGTACGAGTCTGGCTCGCGAAATTTCCTGTATATTAATTGTACCCCATGATGAGTCGATCAGTTTCACTTGCTCCATATTCGCATCTGTAGTCTGTTGGTAATCTGTTTAAAACCATACAAATAAACAAATAAATGTGTATAGTTGTACAAAAACACAAAAACTATATTAATAACGGTGTTTCTATAGTGTAACACTCACATTTTCCCAGCTGACTACAAGACATCAACTGAAAAACAATTGGCATTATACAAACAAATTAAATATACAACAATTGTCAACACGGTATTGCACATATCCGGCCCATACACATTATCACATAACAGGACGCACCATTGTCAGTAAAGTTGTAAGCTTTTTTTTTTTTTGGCTGTTTGGAAGCTGCTAGAAGAATAATAATAAGAAAAGGGGGTTTTCCATGTATTAATGCGAAAACGAACAAACCGCATGCGTTGATCTTCAGTTGCTTTATTGTCGCAACACAGCAACAATATGGAATTATGCCCTTATTTGTCCATTTTATCTGAACGTTTATGCTTCCACGGTCGGTAAATAAATCAGCCATTTTGCTTATGACAGAAATTCTGATAGAAGTCACTATCTCTTTTGGAAATTTTCTAAACTTTATTGCCTACTGTTAATAATTAATACCATTCTAACATTTTGTGTCTGTTTTTTTTTTCGTGACGATTGTTACAAAAGCGACACTGAAATTTCTCATACGCGCACTTCACAGAGGACATCACTGTATACGCCCGTCTTCGGCCATAATTATTATTTTTCTGCGTTAGAATTATTTGTGTGTCTTAGGAGTCTTGATGACATATGGCTGAAATATTAATATCATGAAACTGATGATTTTAAGTAACATGTACATTTTCCCTTTTTATTTATTTTCATTATAATTAAATATCTCACTATATACAACTAAGATGGCAGTCATCTGTGTGTCAAACACGAGAAAAAGTATTGGTCTAGGAGGTAAGTGGGCAGTTACTCTTAACCATAGTAAAAATATCTGTAGAAATGGAATATAAGTATATACCGGGTAGAAAACTCAATTCTATTAGTACACTGCCATTTTATTTCATCTAAACCAACTTTGAGGATACGCCGTGTGTTGAGTATGCGCTCTTACGGAAGAAATGTTTTCTTTTTTTGGTACGAGATAGGCGGCATGGCAATTTTAGTTCTCATCAGATGTTAAAAATAAAAGCTAGTCATTTTCTTATTGTGACGTAAATATCTACATCATTATCCTTTGATGACGCAGTCTCAAAGATGTTTTAGACATGCAGTAGATGGAACCGTCTACAAGGAAGCTTTGTTGGCACTGTAGTTTCAGAACATTCAAACGTGTTCAGCAAATATCATGTTTCATTCGTGTTTCAAGACACAGTTCTAAACTCTGGATTATCTCAGGATGCGAACTGCCGACTGGAGCTCAGGATTTGCTCTTCGCTATGGGTACTATGCTACAAGTCCTGATGAGATCATTGGATTTTTTTTTTCAATTGACCTAATCCTACCAGCGGCACTATGGCCCTGTAGCGTCGAGTGAGTGAGTGATAATGAATTATGGTTTTCAAAAGGATTTAGAACGAATAGGACTTTGACTGACTTAAGGCATTATCTGTCCTTTGCCTGTAGTGATTGAGGAAAACTACGGAAAACCTCAGTCAATATGACCGATGTCCACAGATTGCGTTTATGTGTCCTATGATTCTTAGGGGCACGCGGTTGAGGAACTATGCTACAACCCGGAAGGTCGCGGGTTCGATTCCCGATGAGGTCATTGGATTTCTCAGTTGACCTAATCCTTCCAGCCGCCTTATGTCCCTGGGTTCGACTCAGACTCTGACAGAAATGAGCACCAGCAATCTTCCTGGTAGTAAAGGGCGGCTGGCGCGTAAGGCTGACAAACTCGCCGCCATCTGTGAGCCGTGTTAACCTGTTTAATTATACTAACGAAAGGTTACCTTAGGCGGCACATACACGTACGAGTCTGGCTCGCGAGTCCAGCTCGGCGAGGAGCCGGGCTCGGATTAATTTCACCATACATGTATGAGCGTGGCGATCCACACACGGACGAGTTTGGCTCATAGGAACCCGAGCCGAGTCGGACTGGCGAGCCAGACCCGTACGTGTATGGGCCCCCTTAGGCTGGTTTTACTTCGTACCCTTATTTTGTTTGCTCCAATAGGAATTCGCTTCCTGAATTAATACAGTTTGCCACAGTCCACACGTATGTCGTTGAGCGGGTTTGTATAACAGCAACAGATATAGGTGCAAACGGCTTGGTCACTGCAATCAGACCTTGACTTAGGGGTGTATAAACGAGGAACAGCGGATCGGGTACTGCTCTGCAAGAAACTACGGCTATCGATTGGGTTCCCACCGTCCGCGTAGTTAACACTTATAGCGCTCTTACATTAACGTATTCATCTTGTTTAGAAGGCAGAGTGGAATGAGACGAAGAAACGAGGCCTCAGCTGGCACATAATGTTATGTGTGGGGGGTTTATGTACAACGCTGACAGTAGCTACACTGTATAGCGTCAAACGGTGGGAAGAGAGCACGATCTTCCGGCTTCTGACGCCGTGTAGTTCGGACATATCTGATTCTGACACATGCAGCTTGTGCTGGATTTTTGCTTGCCCCACCCTTCGATCACGAAGATAGAGGCCACATGTTTCTCCGAAACGCTGGTTGATCTTCACCGGACTCCACGGCGCTATATCCAACCTCTGTGACAGTCTCATGTCCGACAAGGCTCAAAATGAAGACAGAAGTTACGGTTCTTATGAGGCGCCCTACTTTTTCAGTTTGATGTTCATTTGAGCTGCAGAACATTCTTGCGACTGGTGATTCAGTGATTCTCATATAATCCCAGGCACCCGTGGAGAACATTAGATTAAATGGCGCTTTGATGTAGTTTCCCGGAACTGCGAACCAATATCCGGTCAGACGCGCCTCTGATAACTCGAGCGTGGCGCTGCGCAGTTGCAGGGCAACGGAACCGGAGCTACACGTGACAGAGGTGGCTTGAGCTCGGAGGGAACAAGTGTATCAGCAAAACTGGTTGCAACGTGCAGAAGGAAGCGGCCGTTCTGGCCTAATTGAAGTACTTTCCCGTTATTTGCCTGGAGGGACTGAGGAAAGCCACGAAATACCCATCAGTATGGTCAGTGTAACGGCCGAGAATCGAGCCGGTCTCTTCCCGAATCACATCAGCCGTTTAAATTTATTGTTCGTAATTTTAAAGAAGCGGTGTTGTCAGCTGTACAGCATGCAGACCTGTTCCTTCCCGTTCCCTGAATGCTGCAAACTGTGTTACTGCTCTCATGGCAGTGTCTGTTAAGACTTGTCTTCAGTGGAGTGACATCAGTCTGGTGGATATTTACCAACTTTTGGAGGAACCTGCTGCCTCCAGCTTCCGTTTTCTATATCACAGGCTGATTTCCCTCCTCTGCTTCCTCTTCTACTCTGAAGATTGAGGCAGCAAGTTTCTCAGAAAGTATGGTAAATGGGTCTGTCTACCATACTGCACGGCGTCACGGAAGAGAGTCATCTTATTCTTGACTACGTTTCGAGGAACCCTGAAATACTGTGGTCATCATCCTGGCAGGTTGTTACCAGTATTTCGAAGGAACTTAGTTCCTCCATCTTCATGGTAGTAGAGAACCTGAAGATGGAGGCTGGTGATCTTTCGAAACATTGATATCCACGTGCCAGACTGCCTTGTATCTAACCCAATGGGCCGTAATGTGAGTCGTAGCCGCTGTGAAAAAGACAGATTTAGTTACTCAGAGAGATCGTGTCTACAGTGGGCCTGGAAACGTAACAGCCGGACAGGCTGGCTCAGCGGTAACTCGAGAATTGCACGATGAGAATATGGGCCAGGCCTCAGCGTGTCGTGATCAAGGCATGCGATGACTTCGTCAGTCCTCACGATTACACGAACTGGTATGTGATGCAGTGTAGCAGTGACGCACATAAACCCTGAAGACGTAAGCAGTACGTTTCTCCGAAGCGTCATTAACCATCTTACACGGCGCACGCCGTCATATCCTGGAAGACAGTAATCTGCTAGGTAACGCCATGATAACTTCTGATGCGGATTGCATGGATTGTACCATTAAATATACCACGACCGCTTCCTTCACCATCAATTCCAGCTAATTGGTCTTCTAATATCTTAATCCTATTGGATGTTATGTGACATTTACAGTTCATACAGCGTCGTGTAATACAAGAAACAACTGTCCAAGTGCTTGAAGGTTTCTGTGTTCTGAAATTGAGAGTTTGTAGTCTGGGAAATCATAATCACCGTTTCGGAGGAGCGTGCTGTCTCCATCTTCAGGAGGCGGCAGATGCCTTTGCGATAATTGTGATGATCTACCAGACTGCACTGTATAACATCCAAGAAGACAATAATCTCCACACTGATCGCCATGAGAGCCTCGTCTCGCATTGTAGCTGTTTCGTTGCAATTGACTCGCCTTTCCACACCAAATTAATCAGTAAGAAATAAACTCTTAGGAGGCTATGATTTCCTAAACAGTAACACCAAAGAAATTAAATAAATACCCCAATTTTCCAAAATTATTTTTAGTTTTCGTTGCGTGCCTTTCTTGTATTAAGGGATTCAAGCGCAAAAGTGTATATGAAGAGAATTAGACGTTCTCCTGCCCCACACAACTGTACACAGAGGCCCGGAAGCGCCAACTGTCAGTCGAGTCGGTCTGCGTATCAGAGATGCAGTAGCACCTCACGCCCGCCTGCCCCTGAACACGCCCTCGGTCACAGTGTAGTAACATATTGTTTGCAGTGACGACTGCCGGTACTCTTAGCTAGTGTCAATTTAACGAGGAAAGTTGAAGAAGCCGGTCAAGCTGCCGTCGTGCCGACCGCCGACGCGACGTTCCCAGCCCCCAGACTGGTGCTGGTGATGCCTGCTTTAGTGCCGCACGCCTTCAGCTCCGTGAACACTTCCGTGAAGAAGCCAGGCTCCGCGTTGATACGCAACATACTGCGACTCAGCTGGTTCACGATGAGTAGACATCGGTCCCAAAACTTTTCCTTATTGTCCTCTACGAGGAAGGGTTTGAGCGGGTAAGAGATCTCATTGCCCATGTATGAGTACGATAGGTAGAGACAAGTCAATACGACGGCTTGAAGGTCCTGTTCGCAGTCTACGTCTTCCTCATGGACCAGCTCTCGTACCAACATGTAGACGAACACGACGTTGGCCGGGTTGATGAAAGCCACATCCTGCAACACGGATTTCGATTAAAATTAACACAAAAACAATTTCTTTATTATTATTGTTAGTGGGGTGAGACTGAATCCACTTGGTACTGCTGTCACTATTAGCCTATTGTACCAGCTCTAGATGATGATTGTGGAGCAGTTGGTGGAATTAAGATTGGCAGGGGAAAGTGAAGTACTCGGAGAGAACCTTCCATATTGCCACTTTGTCCACCACAAATCCTACATGACCTTGCCTGGGCTTGAACCCGGGCAGTCGCGGTGGAGAGCCGGAGACTAACCGCCTGAGCTATAGCATGGCTAAACTAAAACTAACTGGGAAGGTTTTGGAAGCAAGCGGTCGTGGGTGAATCAATGTACAGTACCAGGAATTGCCGACAGGGACTGAGGAAATCCATGAAAATCCTCACGATAGTCGGTATCTTGACCGAGACTAGAACCGCGCACTTCCTGAACACAAGTCTGGAGCTCTACCGTTACGTCACAGTGTCTGTGTACATGTTAAATACATATGGTTCGTTTAACGATGCTGTCAATAACAGGTTACGAGCGCAGAATGACAGGCTGAAGACGAACAATGAAGTGGATGCGGAAGGAACTGACCACGGACTAATTTAAGGCACTATCCCTCGAGACACTGAAGAAAACCACGAAAAACCATAGGATTCTCGATGTTCCGCTTGAGATTCGAAACCGCCTCCTCTGAATGGAAGTAAGAAACGTTATATCTTGAGGTCGCCTGGTTCTGTTTCACAATCGTGCTCCCGTCCGGAGTTGTCGAGGGTTCCCCCCCCCCCGGGTATCAGTCGGCCGGAGCGTGAACATGACAACTCCCCTGTAGAACTGAATGTACGGAGCTTCTCCTTTGCCCTGTCACTACACCTCCATTGCGGGCACGGGAGAAATTCTCACAGTTGTATCCATCTGTTGAACAGAATTCCTACTTTACATGTGCGTCGAATCGAAAAACGTCGAATTTCTTAAATGTGGCTCACAGTCACGTCAACTGCTCAGTAAGAAACGCCGCATCGCGTTTTGTCAGCTCCGGCTTGTGCTAGCCATGTGAAGCTAAGGCGGTCCATACACGTACGAGTCTGGCTCGGCGAGGAGCCGGGTTCGCATTAATTTCACCACACACGTATGAGCGTGGCGACCCGAGCCGAGTCATACGTGTATGGGCCCCCTTAGTCTCGTACTCCGGACGCACTCGGATCGAAAACATCCTGAGGTTTTTTCCTGGTTTGCCTTGTTCATTCCAAGGATAACATCTGTGTCAGGCCACGGCCGATTCTTTCTATGTACTTCCCATCCATGGGTCATCCTACCTCACGGCGCCACGCTGTTTCGGCATTCAAAGCGTCCCTAAATAATTACGGAGAACTGAATTAGAGGCTTAAGACTCCTTTACAACCAGCGATTGTGGTGCATCTTATTGGACTATTGATCAATCACGTGGTTGTGTAGAAACAACTCCATTAATTCTATTGTTTGTTAAGACACGCCATAAATCCGAGTTTGGTCCGTATCTGCAGTAAATTATGAAGGTCAAAAACATGGAAAGGCGACTTTCTGGGCTTGTATTCGGAAGCTGGGATATTAAATATCCTGAGAGTTTGCGTGGTTCTTCTTAGTCCCTCCAGGCAAGTACACTAGGTCACTGTCGCTTTCTTTCATATCCCTTCTACTTCACTATTGGTCTATTATCATACTGTTCGATGCCATGTACCATGATCTTCCGAAAATGGTGAATAAGTAGATGAAAAGGGTATACTTTTCTTAGTGCGCTATTCTATGAAGGCGTTCTTGGGAGTGGAGGTAGGCTCCATGCATTTCTGACCACGTCACTGGATAGATGTGAGTGTTATGCTTTGCGCCCCGACTTTTTTACCCCCACCCCGGGGAAGGATCTACCGGTATTCATTGTGAGGTGGAACGGGTGCCAGACTAGGTCCTCCGGACGCTTCAGAGATGTTGCATTGACTGAGCTATCCTGGCATATTAAATGAATACGTGGACTGTCGTTAAACACACCAAGAACCAGCGTTCCTTCCAGTTAAGCCTGGAACGTGAAAAAGAGTTGGAAGAGGACGGAAGTAGATAGCCTTTGCAGGCGCTGCTAATTGAAGTATTCGTTCCGACAGGCTAAACTTGCATTTTCTCTTGTTTTTCTGCTGCTATTTTTAAATTCTTCCCTTCGTATTAATTAGGAGACGCCAGCTACACAAGACAGACTCGTAGCACTTTGTTGTCTAGCAATTGAAATTAGCGAAGTTAATTTAGAACAGGCTGCTTGCTGCCTTTATCTGTCTTTCTCTGTCTTCTCAGCTGCTTGAGGGTTCTTGTGTAAGGAGTACGGCGAGGGAGACTTTAGTTTGCATGTTGCCACTCACTGCAGGGGATGTTTCGAGTAGTCACACCTCCGACTCTAAATTGCAGATGCCACCCCCACAGCTCGCGACGGTTTCTGTCTGCAAGTGGTGACACGGTACCTGCCGTACAGTAATTGCAGCGTCAGCCGGTAGAGCCCGTCCTAATCAAAACTATTGTCCCTGCTTAAGCATTTCCGTTTGCGTCTGGAAAGCAGGATCTCTTTGTGATTTATATATTTTTTTTTTATTGCTAGTGGGGTGGGACTAAGTCCGTTGTACTGCGGCCACTTCTGGCCTATTGTACCAGCCCCAGATGATAGGTGAGGGTGATTGTGGAGCAATTGGTGGAATGAAGACTGGCAGGGGAAACCGAAGTACTCGGAGAAAACCTGCCCCAGCGCCACTTTGTCCAGCACAAATCCCGCTTGACCAGACCCGGGCCGCCGCGGTGGGAAGCCAGCGACTAACCGCTGGCGCGGCCTGTGATTCTTATAACGACGCTGTCAGTTGCTCAGATTATATATCGCGGAATGGCAGGAAGATTAGTGAATAATGAATGAACGGTATTTCAGCAGAACACGAAATGTATCACATAAGCCGAGAACATTTTATATTTCAGCGCCAATAATGTGTAATACTGAATTTCAGTAGAATCCGCGAAACAATTTATGGGCTTTGTAGTCGGCCGTTGTGGATAAAAGTCCGATACAGATGTTATGTCATGATCTCTCATATTCTTCAGTACTGTCACGTGTATAAGTGTGACTATAGACGGGGTTTGGATTGGTAATCGGATTTATTGAACAATTACAGATCGTAACTACTACGGTTAACTATAGCGCCATCGTTAATTCACACATAATGAAATTTACTACGGTCTGATCTATATTCATCAGTCGTTGCCTGGTGACCGGTCCCAACAGTGTCGTCTGTTACCGTGCTTTCTTTCTAACCAGGTGGCGACTGGTCTGCAACTAACTCATTAGCCGAACTGTCGGCTCTCAGAGTCAGAGTTACTTTATGACTGGAGGTTTGCCGCCAATCAGTTCGTCTTGGTGCCAAGCCTCTTGAGGTTCACGACCAGAGATTTTTTCGACTGAACCCTTGCTGTCATATTCCTTATGTAACATCCTCTCTGACGAGAATGTGGGTCTTTCTCTCTCATGAATATACTTCGCCTTTGTCAAGTGTACGTATCGCAGATATATAGCATGTTATTGAAAATTCTTCTTTTGCACAAACTCTTTGTCAATCCAAGCTAAGGAAAGCAGATCATGCCTGTCTTACTTACCTTATGCTACAACGGCACTTTAGTGACTTGAACGGTCGTAAGCGTATAACATCTCGGCACGGATCGCATAGAAAACACCACTTCGAATTGTATCAAATTTTTGCCGTCGAAACATGCTTGTTTGCCTAGCCGTTACTTAGTAACTGCTGTTGTATCGTTGCTTCTGTTTCGGCCTTTGCCTAGCAATGGGTCTACCTGCCACAATATATAACAAGGTTCTGTATGCGTGAGATTTATCGTTGTCATTACGCAATTTCAGATTAGCATAGCAACGAATTGTCGAGTGTTTACATGCTGCATGAATGTAAGTATTGTAGTAGGTTACGAATGAGCGACTAGTCTTTTGTTTATTGTATCTTGTCTATTCTGTCAGGAAGCTTAATATTTTGTTGGGGATATGTGAAGTGTAGTATATAATACATAAGGGAGGCAGTTCACGATTGACTATTTGTGCGTGTTATTTGTGTGAGATGGCGTTATAGATTGGCCTCGATTCATTAACAAGTAGGACTGGATGGGAATACTGGAGAAAGCAGGTGGAGGTTAATTTTACGGAAACATATATACCATATGATGAGACTTCCGGTTGAAGTCGGAACAAAAGTTACATTAGTTGAATTTAACAGAAGCGCAATTAAAAGTTCATGATATAGACGGCAAATTCATGTATGATTCAAATTGGTTGTGGATCAAAGGTGAAAAAAAAGGTAAAAGTATCCCTGTAACAGGCCATGAAGGCCCATAGGGTTCTGAGACGTCGAGGCTCCCACATTTTCTAGACACTCGGCTCACAGATGGCGGCGAGGTTGTCAGCCTTAAGCTCCGGCTGCCCTTTACCCCCCCCCCGGGAAGATTCCTGGTACTCATTTCCGTTAGAGATTAGTGCGGCTGGAAAGATCAGGTGAATTGAAGAAAACTCACCTAATCGGGACTCGAACCCGCGACCTTCCGGCTTGTAGCGTAGTGCCTCAACCAACTACGCTACCGCCTGCCCTACTACGAATCAGTATGTTTGAAAATCGAAATTTTCTGACTCACAGATTTTGTTGGAAGTCTCCAATATCGAATAAAAAGAATTCACTTTGTTTAGGAGCTCATTTAGGTCACGAGTAGACAAAGAAGCAGACATGTAGCCGGACAGACATGACCTCCCTCTTCGTTAAGACTCGTGGAAGGCTCGGTTGACCACGACGCGGCGTGGAAGGCTCTAGGGCTCTATGAGGTAGCGTTGTTACGTATGAACAGGAGAACTGAATGCTTAATGGATGATGATGATGTATTGACCTGGGATATCATTTGAGCGTGCATCCCCCATGTAATTTGGAATTCAGCGTGCCGGGGCT